TCGGAATTCCCTATCTGTACCAAGTTCTTCAAGAATTAGTTATAACATATTCAAACGAGTTCTGAAGTTAGTTACAGCCTCACAGAAAGCGACAAAAGTTATAATCATCGAAAAGATGTAACAATAAGAATATTCTGCCCTTTGGATATATAAAAATTAAATTATTCTTGTAGGTAATGAACATGTTTTTTTGTTATAGCATTAATTAATAAAATATAAACTTTTATTAATTTTTTAACACCATTACACCCTTTATTCTCTCCGAGTCAAATAATGTTATACTTACTACGACATAAAAGTGACAATTATTATTATTGGCCGTTATTGCGATGGGTTACTAAAAACATACATATTTTATAAGCGGATTTACTTGAACAACTTCTACTACTTCTACTTGCTATAATATGCGAACGACATAATTATTCCATTACACAGTTTTAATAGTGTTTATACGGCATAAATATCTATATATTATTCAAAATTAATTGTAAAACGAAACTAGCTAATGCTAACAAATAGCGTATAATTTATGGAGCCGGTTCTTCCCAGCATTCTAGCCAACAAATAAGCCGAGGTTTAACAATATGAGAGTCAAGAAAATGTAAATTAATAAGAATTTATGGTATCATTTCCTTCTACCAAATGGAGTACCTATGTTTCCATTTTCAGTTCGAAAAATAGAAAACAGTTAAGCGACTGCACACGTCTCGGACATTTTTATTTCATCTTGGTATAACATTTATGATAAAAACAAAATATTTGTGATTCTAGAATCCAATGAGGAATAGAAATCCTGGACTATACAGGGTATTTTTAAGTCCATGGCATAGCTTCTGAGGCGTATTCCTTGAATCATTTTAGGCTAAACAATGTTAATGAATCACGGGTATAATGTCATTTTTTTAAGAACAATGTTGAAATTAATAAAAGAATATCAAGAGTTTATTCAGATATCTCTAAAGATGCTTTCCGTAGATTGATGAAACTTGGGCTAATAGATCAACTAATTAAAGGCAAAAATTCTCTGATTTATAGGCCACTGAGTTTTTGGAAATTTGTTGGAATCATTTTATTTCTATTTATTATTATACATTTATTTTAAAACAAGTAATTTTCGAGTTATTTTATTTTAATATTATAACAGGTTTTATGACAGTTGGATAATGTTAAAATTATTCAACTCACTGAAAAAATTTTTACCGTAAATACAGGGGATGATAGTAGAATAAAAAATAATAATATTTGTCTTAGGAACTATATATCTATCTCCTCTTGTTTTCGAGATACAGAGCGACAAAATAAAAATTTTTGAATAGAATTTTTACGAAAATTTCCAAACGGAGCGAAATATTTTTATGAAATTTGGTATTCCGGGGTTTTTAATGATGCCAAATACGCCGGTCTAATTATTTCATAGAGGGCGCTAGATATTACATTTTAAGTTCTAATTTTTTAAGGTTAAATTTTTTACCATTCGGGCTCCAATTTTTAATGTAAAATTTTATTTTCTAAAAATAATGTACTCTTGTTAGAACTTCCTAATGTGGACGGTTTTCGAGAAAAAAGGCTTTTAATTAAACTCTTACAATATTACGGTGTATAAAATAAGTGACTTTTTTCAAAGTAGGCTTATGTCAAAACTTATTGATGGATATCTCATAAACAACGCATACATTCTTAATAACTATTTCTAATTCTAATGAACTTTATATTAAAATTTGTAATTGTAATTACTTAGTCATTACTAACTACAGTCACTAAAAATCACTAAAATTTTGATATAAAGTTAATTAGAGTTTAAAATATTACTAAGAATGTATGCTTTGTTTATGAGACATATAAGCCTACTCTGAAAAAAATCACTTATTTTATACACCGTAATATAGGAAGATAACCGTCTACATTAGGAACTTCTAACAAGAGCACATCATTTTTATAAAATAAAATTGTACATTAGAAATTGGAGCCTGAATGGTAAAAAATCGAACCTTAAAAAAAATTAGAACTTAAAATGTAATAGGGATATAGCATAACTAGCGCCCTCTATGAAATATCCAAATAATAATTAGACCGGTGTATTTGGCATCATTAAACACCCGGGAACACCAAATTTCATAAAAATATTTCGCTCCGTTTGGAAATTTTCGTAAAAATTCTATTTAAAAAATTTTATTTTGTCGCTCTGTTGCTCTGTATCTCGAAAACAAGAGGAGATAGATATATAGTTCATAAGACAAAAATTCTTATTTTTTGTCGTAATATCACCCCCGTATTTACGGGAGGTCTTTCTGAAACACCCTGTATATTCAATTGTGTAATTGCAAATACTTTTTTTTATTTGAAAATCCCCCAAATGAATTTTTTGTTTAAATTTAAAGAAACACACCCCTGAATTTATAATCATGAAGTTAAAAAATAGCCTGTGCAATCTCCTAAAGGGAAAATAAAACTGGTGAATAAATTATTATCTTCTGTATATTTGCAAGTAAAATGGAGATCAATAAAACTCTCCGGCTATTTCTTATCTGGCGTGTTATAAAAGCTCTTAAATTTCTTTACCATTTCCCGAAACTATATATCAATTTTGTGATATTAGTCACGGGTGCCTCATTTAATTTTTTAAGTGTACCCACTAGACTGGTATTTAAATAAGGACAGTTGATATATTAACCGAGATTGACAAATGGATAGGTTATAATCGTTTTTCTTTAATTTTATAGAAATTTATATTTTCTACTTATGCAAACAGCAGTAAAATAAATGATGATAAGAAACTTCTACTTAACATTAGCCTCATTATCGGAAACCCACGCAAGAAACAAGACATTTAATAATCAATAATCATTTGCAAATAAAGGATCATTGAATTTTTAACTTCACTTAGACAAAAAAACAAATACTTAAACTATTTCATTTTTTGCCTTCAGCTTCCCGTATAAGTTCAATAGAACTTTTTTTACGAAAATACTGGAGAAATCTATGACTGCTAAAATTAATAATAACGACATTAAGAACAGAATACTACAGGCTTCGATACACACAAACATTCATTGGCTTAGTAATTTTTATATATGTATGTCCACATTCATCACGATCCTACTNATTTAATAAAAATAAATACCCTTACAATATTTTTCCCGACAAAGGAACGGGCGCAAATCCGGTATTTTACATAAAAATGGTTTTTTGCAAAAACTACGCAGCTTAGGTACAGGGAAAGCTATTAAATTGTAGGGTCTACGGAAAGACATCTAATGAAATCATAAAACACAGGGTTTCTATTTGAAAAAGTCGAGATATTTTAATAGGGATCATAAAACAGTCTCTTTAATTTTTCACGTAGAATTCGATATTGCCATAAAAAAATATAGGTTTTCGTTTAAAAAAATTAAGTTGGTACCTGCCCAGGAAAAACTGAACAACCTGTATATGCAAATATATTTTCATTTTGTGCAGCTCGGGAATCTAGGCAACTCTGTAAAAAAAAATTAAGTTATATCGTTTATTAACCTAGATATTGGACTTACGCGCACTAGGTGGACATGGTGTATTATTTTCTGTTTTTAAAATTCAGCTTCCTATTTCACTATTCCCAGTATTTTTCACATTTTTAACTATTATTTTTAATTATAATTATTAATGAAAACAAGTGGCGTCACGTTTCTTATTGTTGACATTTTAAATAACTATGTTATGTTTTACCATTGTCTGCTAAATCGCAGCACCCGTGTATTACAAAAGCCTACGTGATCTAGCTGATTATGGCTTGACGCTATTATGAAAACCAACAATTACCTAGCTACAGACGTGACAGAACCTTAAGAATAAATCACCCTTTCTTTCATAATCACCTTAATTCTTCAGTACAGCACAAGTACTGTGAATTTAATTACAGAAGTAACTACCCAGTGGATTGTGTATCTGCCTAGAAAAATACTATAAATCTGTCAGTCTCAGTCCTAGTAAAAAAATCCCAGGACTGTTCCCACAGTAATTATAAAAAAATAGGTATTTTCTCTCGTTAATTAGGTACGTCCAGCATCCAGTTACAGGTGACCGAACAATTAAAAGTACCATAACAACGCCGGTCAAAGGTGTCCATATATTTTAATTAAATTCGAGTAGGGTCACTCGAGAAGAGGTCGTAAAAATTTTTTAGAAGTTATCTCTGCAGCGCAAGAGCAATTTTAATTGTTTTCGGTGATTAAGCGGATGGTTAGATGACATCTGCTGCGGGTGCTTAATTAAATTTTGATGGGGAGGACATGAGAAGTGCGGGTTAGCCTGAGAAAGCTCGGAACTCAAAAGTGAAGTGATAAAGTCGTTCACATCAGGTAACACGGGAAGACGCAGAAGTAGATATTGTTAACAATAACAACCACAAATCATAAACTATACCTGGGTACGTTTCGTGTTGACAATGAAAGTCGAAAGTTGTATGAATAATTATTTTCTACATAAAATTCCAAGCGTTCCGTCAGTAGGTACCTAATAATTCTTATGTTCAAAAATTCGAAAACTTATTGTTGTAGCAGTTAAAAAATATATATTAACAGATATACTAACCTTTAAAAACTGTTTAAACACATATTAACACTTAGACTTAAACTTGGGGAAAAAAAACTTAAAAATTATTAGAAAATTTAAATTGTTTGCTACCTATATAGGTATGTAAATTGTAAACTGATCTGCTAAATTAAATTACAGAAAATGTATCCAGAGGGCGCGTTGTCTTGGTGATATGTCATTAACGCTAACTTAATTCATAGTTTACTTTCAAGAATATTTATTAATTAATTAGAAAATTCTAATATAATTAAAACTATTAAAATGTTTAGATTATCATGTAAATCGAAGTCAAAAAACTATATAATTAAAATAACTGGACATGAGGCAAAGCAAAATACAAACACGTAATGTAAGTTGCATTGCCAATGTTTTGATATTGTTGGTTGACAGTGACAGGTTGAGAGATGACACAACCTCAAAAATATTGTTACCTAACACCTAACCGCAGAAATATGAATGCCAAATATTAAAATATCAATTAACGATAATGCAGTTATAGGTATCCTTGACCTTTCTCAAAGACAAAAGGAAAATTAAGATTATTTCAAAAATATGTTGTATTTAACTGATTATGTCTTATTATAGTACAAACTGCTTATTCTACTGCATTTAATAATGAATACTTTTGCACCGCTCCGCACGGCTCTTAGAAATTCTAAGAGAAATCTTGGTATAATTTCAAATAGTTATAATCAATCAAAGGATCAGGCTACTAATCCAGCAATAAATGAGGCTGAGAAAATAGTGGGATATCCTACATCCTTTTTAAGTTTACGATGGCTATTAAATGATGAAGTAGCAAACATTGCGCTTCACCTAAGGAAATTAATAGGGACAAATCATCCGTTATTAAGTACTGCAAGGTAAAAATCACTTTATTTTTTAATTATTTTTATCCATGAAATTTATATGTCTAGAGATCTTCTTATAAATAAACAGTCACCGAACTGGGGTCTTATTGTTCTACTCATATCTAAAGCTGGAGGAGTAAAGAAAGAAGTCTCACATGTTGACTGTGATATTACTGCAGGTAAAAATATATAAACATAATTGAATCAAATTTGTAAGCATTTAAAATATTTAGGAATTCTTCATAGCCAACGAGTCCTTGCAGAAATTACCGAAATGATTAGAACCAGTAATATAATTCACAAAAGCATACTTCAGATGGACCTCAACGATCCAGACTATAAAGATCTAAACTTCGGCAACAAACTGTCTTTATTAACAGGAGATTATTTATTGAGTACCAGCTTCGGAGAATTGGCAGGTTTGAAAAACCATGATGTCAACGAATTCATATCCACTTGCTTGCGCGATTTATCGGAAGCGCAGTTTATTGAACCGAGGGATAAACAAAACAAGCCTCTACCTGCCCCTCCCTTAAAAGAACAAAAAGATGTAAAAATTCCTAATCAGTTTGATAATGAAATTTTGCAAATATCTGAAGTTTTGGGGAATGCTAAAGCTGAATGGACATTAAGACACCTGTTGGATGGGGCGAGCTTGTTGGCAAAATGTTGTCAGGTAACGTATATATATTTTTCGGTCTATTTTTTACTATTTCATTTCAAAACAATTCTATATTTCGATTAATAAATCATATATAACTCTATCAGGGTACATTAATGCTTGCGGGACACTCTAAGTCCTTCCAAAAACAAGGATACCTATTTGGCCGAAACATGGCCCTAGCTTGGCAGGCGTGTAGGGACCAAAAAATTTTTGAGACTTCTAAAAATGAAAGTTTCAGTCTGGTATGTGCTCCGTTGTTATTCCACATACAATTTGACCCGAGTTACTACGAGAAAATCATGGAGTGTACCAAAAATGGTAATGTAGATTATTCCGGCATCAAGGAAGCAGTGCGATCTGGTCCTGGGTTAGAGAAAACGGCTGAGTTGCAGGAAGAATTATCTTCGAATGCTCAGGAGGCTTTAATAGAGTTTCCCGACACTGAAGCCAGAAGTGCTTTGGCGAATATAATTCATTCTTTGCAGTGATTCTCTCGAAGTACCATGAATTAGTGAGATATTAGGCTGTATATAACCGAATAAGTACCTGTATCTAGTTTACTGTAGATCTCTCTCGTACTCAAATATATAATTTAATGTAAAAAGTAATTTAAAGGAATAATAAATGAGAATCTAGTCATTTCGTGTTTTAATTATCGTTAAATCATCTTAATTTAAAAAAACTTTTATTTCCATTGATCTATTTGAGTTACAAAAGTTCTTTGAATCATAAAATGTATATGTATTTCCTTCATCTTAAAATTCCTCGATATTGATTTGATTACACCGTAATCAACTGTCACTGTGAGGCAATATCCCTTTTTTTTAATAATAAAGTTTATTCAAAGAATTAAAAAAATTACAGAAGTATGAGTGAAAAATAAAAAGAAAAATAGCTATAATAGCATGAGTATACATGCATGTATACAGGGTGTGGCATTAGTGCGTCAAAGTACAATATTTCCGTTATTATACAGGGTGTTTCAGGATTATATGCAAAAATTTTAAATACGAATTGGGAAAAGTTTCTAAATTAATCTGTCTCTCCAAAAGATGTATTGCAACAATTGAAATCCTAACGAGTCAAATGTTTTCATAAAAAATATACAGGGTGTTGTTGATTTCACCCATTCCAAATAGGATTATTTTAATGAAAAAATACTGGTTAGATCGGCCTGGATCAGTATAACATCTGTACCAAAATTCAGGATTTTATCTGTTTTCAAATTTGAGAAAAAAATTTAAAACTCGATTTTGACCTCCATTTTTAAACTGCTGTAACTCCTGAACGAATCGTTTATACCTGCATACCCTAAACAGAACAACTTAACAATAATTTATTGCAGGCATAACTTTTTGATATTGGTAGTTTTAGGAGAAAGTGCTACTTCTTAATTATTGCAACAGTTGAATATAGGGTAAAACTTGAGCACATAATTTTCTTAATTATTTTAAATGAATCACCCTGTATTTTATTTTAAAAACTGAAAATACACTTTACGTTCTTTCATTTTTATAGAGCATTCCCTAAAGCTAAAATCATTAATTTCTGAGATATTTAGGTACCATTTGATAACAAAAATAGAGTTTTTAAAAAATTCTATTAAAGAGTGTTATAAAATTTTCAATTATGGGAAATCTAGAATTTACTGAAAGGACTTAAATTTAAACAGTAACGAACGTAACGTTTTACAAACCTGTTGTATGTGTATGTTCCAGCGAAAGTGGCTATCAACTCTAAGATACCTAGTGGATTCAGATTTATTTATGTTAATTATTTGACGATTTATATCTATATTTAAAGTTTGGTAACTTGGAAGTCCACTAATATAAATGGAAAAAGGTAAATAGCAAGTTTTTTGATAATTTATTGGCAGCAATCTGAAGTCAAAACACCGAAAAAGTTTCGCCAGGTCACACTCAGCTTAATATTTTAAATTTACCCAATTCTCACCTTCATAATAGACAATAGGATCATCTGCGAAGCAGAGAGTAGCCCAGTACTATTGAAGATAAGAATTGATTTAATATACAATAAAAACAAGGACAGTGCCATGAGGTACCCCACATGTTATTACCTGTTCATCACGTAAAATGTTTGAGATTTTAACATATTGTGGTCCTTGCTGTCAAGTAACTCTCAAATAATCTGTATACACTTCCCCTAAATCCCAAGTCATGCAAGACCTCCAACAACTGTTTATGATTAACAGTGTTGAATGCCTTTGCAAGATCGAGAAATACACACAGCGATGGGATAGACTTTTCGAAGTTTTTATGTGAATTGCATCCTCTGTAGATTTACCATCACGAAAACCAAACTGATTTCCTGAGAATAATTTATTTTTATCCAATTAATTAGTTATTCGGGACTTCAACAATTTTTGCCAGGTTTGAGATTAATGTAATTGCTAACATTATCGTTTTCCCCTTTTTTAAAGAGAGTATGAATTACATCTATTTTAAATACTCTCGGGAAGTGCCCAGTAGAAATGATTTTATTTATGAGATGGTGCAAAGCGCTTCCTATTTCACATGCCCATCTTGAAATACAAGGTGCGTCAAGATAACTTCCTTATTTGAAATGAGGGCTCTGAAGCTGATGGAGTCCCAGGTGACTGTGTGTTCTCGTTCGAGAGGGGAGATCCTAAAGTTTTGTTAACTTATATCTGAGTCGTCATCAACGCATTGGAGTAAAGAGCAACGTGCGTTTGCCTTAGAGGCATACTTTTCCAATAGCCGTTTGGTGGTTTTAACCCAGCGTGCCTTCTGAAATCACTTCAATATTGCACCAACTGGTTCTGTGCAGATAAAAAGAACTGAAGACGCACGTCCCATCAAAACACCTGAGAACGTCGAAGCACTAAGGGTTGCAGTTTTGCGAATTTCCCATCGTTCCGTGAGGCAAATTATTATTACAAGTTGGCCTTTGTGCAGGAACTTTGGGAATGTGACTTTAATGCTCGAAGAAATGTGTGTGAAGCACTTCTTGAAGACGTGTTTGTGTTTTTCACCGATGAGGTTCATTTTAATTTGACTGGATATGTCAATAAGCAAAATATGTGCTACTGGGCTGCCAACAATCCCCAAGACCTCCATTAGATGTCTTTGCATTCACAACATGTCAGCGTTTGATGCGTAATCTCACCAAACAGCAGAATTTAGTTCAACCAGTATATCGACAATGGGGGGCATCACTTATCCGATATGATTTTTAAACGATGTAAACCACAACTTTAAATGTTTAACTTTTAATAAAAAAAATTGAAAATATGTCTACTACTTTTTGTTTTAACCAGTGTTGCGAGAAACAACTATACCGCGGGCTATATGCCTCCCTGGCATTGAATTACACTCACAACACCTAATGCAACAGCTAGGATCGCTCGTCAGTCCAACCCACCAGGCACAGACCGGTTTTGGACTTATTAGTCCTCATCAGTGTGTATAGGTGAGACAAACCAACGAACGATCCAGCTGTTATAGTGTCGTATACTCGCAACAAAGAGGTACATAGTACGCGAAGCACAATGGCTCCGTCTATCTGTCGTGCCGACTTCCAATATGCCATTCAAATGGCTACTACGGTGGAAGCGTGCTAAAATTTACCAGGTACTTTGTTGCACAACTGTCGCCTAGAGGATGAAAACAACTCTAATCAGTGTTGCGAGACACAAGTACACCACGGGCTATATGCCACCCCGGCATTGAATTACAAATGGCACATCCTGTATCTATATTCTATTTTGCATTTGCATTAATGCAACTGAAATATGGTGCTGTGAACGGGGAGCCATATCTGTACGGTGGCTACCTTTGACCATTAGAAGTACACAAATTCTTCTTAAATTCCGTCATGAAAACCGATTTTTTTTTGACATCAGTAGAACCTCAATAATCCAAACTATAGGGATCATAGGTCGTTCGGATTACCAAAAAAATTGGACTATCAAGCAATTCATATTTTAATAATGCTCGAAACTCTAATCACAATCAAAATTAAAACAATCTGCACAGGAATCAACCAGAAAGAGATGTTTAATGTTTATGTTTAATGTTTATGTTTAATGTGGCTAACTTTAAAACACACACACATACATAACTTTTTACACGTCAATCATGTAGGAACCTAAGTATAAAAAAATAATACTTGTTAAATCTTATTTAACGTTGTATCTTAGGTGTTAGGCCTACTTTTAGAAAACAGATAAAACAATTACAGTATATTAAAATTAACACTAAGAAGAAAAAAAATAAACAAAAACGTTATACACATTGCACCTAAGTGAATTAACACTTGTATTGTGCAAGCACAAAATCCATTAAGTATATGCTGTATATACAATAATATGAGTAAAATTCAAATTATTATTATCATCTTTCGTATTAGCTAGGATATTATTCAATCAATGACAAAAAAGACAAATAGTTGTTACTTATGTATGTTTTGCAGAGGTGCGAGTATTTTTTAAAGCTTTTGGTTCTTCTTATTTCTAAGGGTAACAAGTTGTATGTTTTGGGAGCTAAATGTGTTGCAAATCTCAAACCTATGGTTTTATTATTAAAAGGTGTTAGTAAAGCTTCGTTTGACATACTCCGAGTTACCCTAACATTCATTATCAACTGTTTTTCATTTTTAAATACATTTTTTCACAATTAATGGAAATACAAAGATCTAATATTACATATTCCATCCTTGAAAAGTAAACTGGTCGGGTATAATTTATTTTTTTTTAAAATGATTTTTAATATGATGATGAAGTTACTTATAGTACATACTTAGGTACATGTACTATCGATAAAAATTTATGAAAATCGGTTTGTATTTTCAAATACTTTGAACGTCCTTCTTAAATACAATTCAGTGAAGACTGCATGCTTGTTTTATCACTTGGCGGCAGCCCAACGTGGGTAGTCACTCTCTCGAATCTATGAATGTACTATATCGTATGTTAAACTGTATCCTAGATATCAAACCACAAAAGGGAATAAAAACATAAAATATTAACATCTATTTATTGAATAATATTGACATTATCGACTACAGAACAATTCTTTATATTGGTATATTACACAACTTTTATAACATTAGACTTCAAAGGTATATCGACGAACACTATGAAAAGTTATAATTCTTCATGGCAAAATATTCATTCTCAATTAAAAAATATATGTATTTGCTGGAAACATATTGCTTATTATAGTTTAAATAATCGACACGAAACGCAGGAATTACCCTTTAACACGGAAAAAATTCAAAATTTGTATAAAACCCAAATAAAAACGAATCCAAAAACAACACAATATATAAAAATATTTACAAAATTAAGAGTAAGTTTACCTTACACCTTTAATACTTCCATCTGATGGCAATCAAAGAAAATATAACGGTAAATTATTTGTGATTGATAAAAAACTGCAAAAAGCAATTTGAATTCAAGACAACTCCAAATCTATGGCTATGATCACAATCTATTCAATTAGAATATACTTTTCGAATGTTTAAAATCCTATCCATCAAGGGGAATTTATTGTCTTTTTCAACTAAGGCTATTCGGTACTTTTACGTCTCTTAAAAATAACTGAAAATCAACCAAACTAGCTTTACTAAAGCTGAATTAAATGATATCTATATATGTCTCCTTCCCTAGAAGGAATATTACACTGTAACTGCTTTTAATATTTTTAAATATCTAAAAACTTAACAAACCCCAACAAAGATCAGAAGATATGTAACTTTTTCACAAGTTTGTTAAAAACACATCTACTATAAGTAACAATTTACCACAGACAATGAATTCTCTGAAAAAATTATGGCATAGCTGAAACCTTACACAAGTTTACACCGGACATGGCACCTCGTTGAGGGTTGGCTGAATTATACCACCTGGTCCAGGCAGAGAAGACGGAGCTTGGTTTAGGAATTCGTCCACCGCTTTAGCGGCTTGACGACCCTCCGCGATAGCCCACACAACCAAGGACTGTCCTCTTCGACAGTCTAGAAAAATTACGATAATTATTTATTAACAAAATACAAAAAAAAACTACAGTTAAAAATTACAACGAATTGTACTGATATTTGCAATAAATTTTAAATCTTCTGCAAGTAATAAAAATTTACAATGAAAGTAGCACTCCACCTATCATTTGAAAAGGTATTAAATAAAAGCGACCCCAAGTGAGAGCCTTGGGGTATACTTGAGACCACTGCGATAATTATTGTATCAATAATCTGAGCTTACCTCCCGCTGCAAAAACGTTTGATACATTGGTTTTGTAGTCTTTCGTACTGAAGTTTGATCTTGCATCCAAAGTGAGTTCGAGCTGATCTCCAATAGCTCGTTCGGGGCCCAAGAAACCCATGGCAAGTAGAACCAAGTCTGCTTTGAAAACCTTTTCGGATCCAGGCACCTGGTTCATCTGCCACCGACCACTGTCGTCCTTAGTCCATTCCACATTGACGGTTTTTACTCCGCTAACATGGCCTTTGCCGTCATCCAAGAATTCCTGGGTCATGATGCTGAAGACTCTCGGGTCAGCGCCGTATCTCACCTTTACCTAAATATAAAAAAAATGTGATTGTTTAAAAAAGTAGAATTTACTTCTTTTCTAACCTCTTCATGGCCGTAGTCCACTCTGAACACTCGGGGCCACTGCGGCCAGGGGTTGTCGGCCGACCTCTTAGTGCCAGGTTCGGGTAGAATTTCGAATGTGGTAATGGTAGCAGCGCCTTGTCTCAAGGAAGTTGCAATGCAATCACAGCCTGTGTCACCACCTCCAATGATTATCACATGTTTGTCTTTGGCGTGAGGCCCCTCGTGGTTGGCTCCCAGCTGCTTCTTCTGCCAGTTCTCCAAGAACTCCATGGCAAAGTGGATGCCGCCCAACTGACGACCTTTTATGAAAATAGATAAGTTGAGTAATCGCTAAATTGATAGAAGAGCCTTAAGAAGAGATTAATAATAAAATTTTTAAGCTAATAGTACTCCAAAATTGGAACCCTGAAAAATTGATACAGGACAGAACATTTAATTATAAACAAGAACTAAAAGTATCAGTGGCGTCTCTTGGTATCTTGGGTAGAGGAGGCTTGAAATGAACAGCTTTAAACCGTCTTGTTGTAATCAAACAGGCATTACCCTTGAGTTAGTGCAATGGGCGCGTTACATTTTTTCAGTGGGTTGTTCGCCAGTAGCCCTATTATCCCACATAATTAACATAAAGTAAAATCTCTTATTTTGTATAAAACATTAAATAACACTCACTTTTTGTAAATTAGCAATGAGTACAAAAACTAATAGTCCACGGGCCCACGTACAAAGAAAAAAATGATTACCAGCAAGCTGTAACTTTGCGTGCAGCTTAAGTTTGACGAGTCTCCCAAGATTTGACTATGAGAAAAATTCAACAGTGGTAAGTTTTCCCGTGATTTTCAGGAATACATGTAAATCTGGCATAAACATGGAATGTTATGACCAGCACTTTTTTTAAAGTTTTAATGAGATATATTTTTTTTAAATCCCCCAAAAAATTTGTCCGACAAAAATGTTGATATTTTGAGTTTGTCCCCCACCCCAAATATGTCGATTTGGTGACATTATGGTTGGTGACAACCAGCAAGCTGATTTTTCTGGGAGGGTTTGGTAATAAGATTTGAAATGAAAGTATCTTATTGTCCGACAAAATTCTTGAGAAGTTTTTGCAGTCCGACGCTCTGAATTATGTCGATTTAACGACAACATGGTTGATGATAACCAGCAATCTGTTTCTGATTTTTTTCTCTAATAATTGAAATGTATAACACAATAATATACTTGTCCGCCAAAAAGATTAGAAAATTTGCTTTAAAAATGGGAAAGATAACTATTTTTGTGGTACCTAATGTTCATTCCGCTATAAAATAATTAATTTTTGAAAAAATAAAGAATAAATAAGAATATTGTCTTGTCAGATTCAAGGTCATCTCAAGGTCAAATTGGGAAAAAACCATTAGAAAAATGTGAAACGGTAGGTCCATAGGTTTTTGAGGTCACTGAATACGAATATCGGGTTACTTAGAGGTCATTCTAAGTCATCATCCTGAGCATGGGGTATAATGCATATCATCTTATAAAAAAAACTCATTAACTGGTTAGTCTTCACTGACCTTATCATAAAGTTCAATGTCACTGTAAAAGTTAGATTCAATATTTCACGTATATAACAATTTATCGTGCTCTTCTTAATAAAAGGTTTTTTCTCACTTTGTCCTTTAGATGACTTAAAAATGGCCGCTAGGTGACCTTGTAGACTTAAGCGAACCCGATATTCGTATTCAGTGACCTCAAAAACCTATGTACCTACTGTTTCACATTTTTCTAATGGTTTTTTCACAATTTGACCTTGAGTTGACCTTGAATCTGACATGATGGAGGTTAGCTGACCTTGGATTTGTAATCAGCGCCCCCAAATACCCTTGTTTACCATAATCAAGTATGGTGATACAGCTTGTGCGAAATAACATATCTTAAACATATCCAAACTCTCGTCGACTGCCAGACCTTCTAGGAGGCTTTTTTGGGGATTGTGCATGTTAGAACTTTTTATCAGGTCAAATACTATTGAAAAAAAAAAAAAAATTGGTTGCAACCAATTCGACGGGGAACCAAAATCCCATATATTGGGTGTGTAGTTCTTTGTTTATAATGAAATCAGTTCTTTCAAAATTATATGATGTCTTTCTTTTCTTTGAGGGTGGGTCATCATTAAAGGTTTCGTCAATGTCTTCTAAGAAAATTGCATACGTGTTGAAATGTATCTCATTATTACGAAATTCTTTTAATTCTGATAAAAGTGAATTAATTCTCTTTTTAGAAAATGAAAATGTTACGTCAGTTAATTGAATCTGCAAAATTTGGAATACATCGGTTTGTTCAAAAATCATTGTAAAGGTTTTCAAGAATAAAATTAAATTTTTGTCCATCAACAATAATTGTTTTAATCCTAAAGTTTCTTGATCATTTAACACGTTCACTGCGAGATAATCTAATGTACTTTGTCCTTGACTGCGATACATATCTTCGGGGATATGTAACAAAACTTCTTCTGTGTGCGGTACATATCCCTGGGGATATGTATTTTTTTTTCCGTTTGCCTCTATAAAATTAAAAATAACACAATTATTGCTATAAACTTGCATGTATCTGCAACTATATATCCTAGGATATTAACGTTTTCATTCGCAAAGAGTTTTGAAAAGAAAATAATAGAAAAATCATTATTTCTAAAAACTACAGATTCTGCAACTTCCAGATACAGTAAAAATGTGATTATTGAGATTTGCATATTTTTTATAATGAGTACATACCCCCGGAGGTATGTACCGCAGTGAACGTGTTAAAAAATCCTCACTATCCGAGATGAAATCAAAAACCTCAATAAGTTTCTTTCTATAAATTTTGACTATAAAAACAGCTCTAGAAGAAAAATTCCAACGAATGGGAGCATTACTTGGAATCCTGTGTTGCATTATTTTATTTAATACGTCAGATCTTTTAGTAGATTTGGAAAAAAATGAGAAAAATCCGGAGATTTGAAAAAAAAAATCTTACTTCTTTAATGCCGTTGCAAGCTTTATTTAAAACTAAATTTAATTTATGTGTGTAACAATGATTAAAATAAGCTTGAAGAGCTACGTCTTTTATTTTCCTTTGAAGACCATTAACATGACCTGACATAACCGTGGCACCATCATAGGTTTGAGCAATTAATTTATTTTTTAAGTCAAATTTTTCAAATTCATTAATTAATAATTTAAACAAACTATCTGGCATCTCTCCCACTTGTTATGTCAAAAAATCCAACTAAATCTTTCAACAATTTCTCCATGCACTACGTATCTAAAAATTACCGATAATTGAGATTTACAGGTAACATCTGTGGTTTCATCAACTTGCCAGGAGAATATTTCGTAATTATTTAATTCGGCATAAATTTTACTTTTGATAATTGAAGTAATACTCTCAATTAAATCGTTTTGAATGGTTTTAGAGGTCCCCGAAAAAACAGAGGCATTATCTAAAAAATTCTACAGTTTTGGATCGTATGTTTTTAATAAATTTATTAACTCTTTAAAGTTCCCTCCATTAGCAGAATCCACTTTTTCATCATGTCCGCGAAAAGAAATTTCTTGAGACGATAAAAATATTACTACATCGATTAGTCTATTTAAAATATCTCTATTTTCACAAACCTTCTCATTTTAATTTCTGTTTACCGAACATTGCAAATTTAACCCTTTCGCTGCACAATACGTCTGAACGTAGCTACCGCAAGTTTATCGCGTGCGAATATATACGTCTGGAGCAGTTAGACCACTTATAGTTTTACATTATGTTGTGTTAAATTACGATTTACGATAAATTTTATGATTTTATTTTGATTCAAATACAGTATATGTACTAAATAGAAACTGAAAGAAACATGAACAATCTTGGTACTATTACCAGTAACTCTTTCCATAAAAATATTTGTCACAATCGGTATAAGCTCGCCCGCAAAAATTCGCCTTACCAATTGCAATAACCGAGTCACTATGCGCACGGTTGCGAATATATATACGGTTTGAGCAGCCTGATCCAATTTAACTGTTCATGCGAATTAATCCGTCTGGAGCAGTTTGAGCCCTATAAATTTTTAGCGAATATATACGTCTGGAGCAGTGAAAGGGTTAATACGTGATGAAATATGTTCTTGCGATTTTTCCTGTCTTTCAAGGCCTCTCATTAAATTATTTAAATTGTTAAAACCGACTGCCCCAAACCGATTAATTATTATTAGTGAAAAATAAACAATGCCAGCAGTATAATTTATTTCTAATAGTTGATGCAGTTAACCAGTCATTTTTTCTATAATTATTATCGTTAAATCCCCTATTTTGTTTTTCATCCATTGCAACTAAAGACGGCAAAGAAGGTGTCAGTCTCGATTTCTGTTTAATTATGAGCTTTTCTTCATAACTGAGAGTACTAAATCCTTTTAATAATAAATAATCTACAATGTCTATGCAAGAAGTTGTTGAGGTTATGTTCGTTTTCCGCACTCATTTTATTTTAATAAAGTTGAGTACGTACCAGAGTAAAATGTAAATGATTGTTTTACTAATCAATTATAATTGTCTCACAAACATTCTTAAGGAAAACTTCACATAAACACCAGTTAAAAGCAAAAACGCCTGCATTCACAGCCGACCAATGTTTTTATTATGAAATGCAGCATTGCAACATACAACTGCTATCGCCGAGGTGGTAGAGAAGAAGGGCTATATTGAAAGATTTGCTTGTTAAAAAGATATGGAAGGTGGCAACAAGCCTCCGTGTCGACTGGTTAAGCTCGAATATAGATAATCGTGGCATGATTTCAAGATCACGCAGAATGGTAAATGCTGGAGGCTTGAAAAAGTTAGCTGCCAGCGACTATAATGCGAATTTGGAAGGTGCGAAAAATAGTGAACATTTAAATACCGTATATTTACGTACTCGAGATCTCCCACCTAATTAGTTGCATATGAAAATAGATTTGTAAGAAAATTTCTTAAATAATATTAATTATATGATGTAAAATAAAAAAACTAAAAGAAAACTTTTGCAATACTATCAAAAACTGCAGAGGAGGCCTAGCCTCTCCAGCCTCCTCTAACGAGCTGCCACTGAAAAGTATTATTAATCAAACTAATGACGTGTTTCTAAAGGTCTGTATTTTTAAATTTTGTGTTAATTTTTGATGACAGAAAGATTGCAAACAAGATACTAGAACTTATTAAACGTAATGTTGAAATTAATTGTAATGCTTTAGAATCCCGTTATTAATGTAATTTGCCGCTTGTTCAAAAGCGGCAAATTACAAATTTCTTTACAACAAAAAGTAATTTGAGTTTCAAACTAACTCCATTTTATAGAAAATCTGCTTTAGAATGGAGAAAAATCTGTTATTTGTGCATTAATTCATATTTAGACAAACTGTGTAATAAAATCTATAAAAATGTATTGCTGGTTGCCTATTTGCGATAGAGTCCTCTTAAATAATCAATAGTTAGGATGGATATTTTTAGGAAAAATGCTGTTTAAATTTCAAATTGCCAATGTATTGCTGGTCACAATTAAAATATAATATTAGTCATTAATATACACCCAAGAAAATAGTGGCCCAAAATTAGAACCCTGAGGAAGTGATATACACTTTGAAAATATAATTACTGGCAGTTAGTTTCAATTGTGCTATGTATCCTGATTGTACATTTTACAGTTACAGATTATTAACAAAACAATATTTCAAGAATTACCTGGTAGTGGCAGGTCCCGTGGCCACGTAGCTCCTGTAGTAAGTACAACTGCATCGTACTCCTCACTAAGTTCCTTTGCAGAAATATCCTTTCCAACGTTAACGTTTGTTTTAAACGTTATACCTTCAGCAGCCAACAAGTCGACTCTTCTTTGAACGACAGCCTTACTGAGTTTCATGGTTGGAATACCGTATTGAAGTAGCCCACCGATTCTATCGTTTCTTTCAAAAACCGTCACTAGATGTCCCGCCTTGTTTAATTGATTAGCGCAAGCCAAACCAGCTGGTCCTGAGCCGACGATAGCGACACGCTTTTCAGTGCGGACAGACGGGATTTGGGGAACAACCCAGCCGTTTTCGAAAGCGTGATCAATTATGGAACATTCGATGTTTTTAATGGTTACGCTAGGCTCGGATATGCCTAATACACATGCCCCTTCGCAAGGGGCGGGACAAACCCTTCCAGTGAATTCGGGAAAGTTGTTTGTTTGCAGAAGCTGGTTCAGCGCCTGTCTCCAATGGTTTTGGAACACAAGGAAGTTCCATTTGGGGATTATATTTCCCAGGGGACAACCGTGGGAGTTGGATTGACAAAACGGAACCCCACAGTCCATACAGCGGGCTGCTTGAATTCTAAGGCCTTTTCTGACGTGAGGGAAGTTGTAGATCTCATCCCAGTCTTTCATACGTTTTTCTGCTGCACGATATATGCTGGTTTCTCTCGGATATTTCATAAAACCTCTCGTTTTGTCTAGAACTCTTTCGATTTTCTTTTGTTCATGTGCATCCCCAAGAGTGTCTTCGATGTCTAGAATTTTAGGTTCGTGATTCTGAACGGGTTTTTCAACGGCATTTTCCTGAGCTTTTTGCTTGAGCGCCCTTTGATATTCGTAAGGGAATACTTTCACAAACTCCTTCCTTCTAGAGTCAAATTCATTGATGAGCTGTTCGGCTACTATGCTTCCCGTTAATTCTTGGAATTCTTTCAGCAGCTGCTTAACCAGATCCACATCGTATTTGTCTTCCAATTTACACAATTCCACCATCTCCGGGTTGCATTTCGTTGAGAATTTACCGTCGATATCCCAAACATAAGCGATACCTCCAGACATGCCAGCAGCAAAGTTTCTTCCAGTCAATCCTAAAAAATAATTAGAATTTATCACAATACATATTGGTTTGTTTTTTTTTATTACACTTTAAGAACAAGTAGATTATTAAAAAATAGTGACATTTTGCTGTATACAGAGCATCTGCGTATAACTGCATTATGTTTAATATGTAGCAGAATACTTAGTAATCTGATGGATTTTAATTTATTTTAATTATTTAAATTTTTTAATAAAACTTATTTTTTTAAAGCACTGTGTTTAATCTGTGATTCTAAGTGTCAATGACATTAACCTAGTTTATGTGAACTCTATAATAACAATCCACCTGATGGCAAAAAACAAAAAAATGTCCGAATAAAATGTTATCATTTCATTTTATTACATCTATTTTAGTACAGTCATTTAAGCTTTTGACCTCCGAATTCTTTGAAACTGAACTGATCGACTTGAAATTTGGCAGGTAGTTATAGAAAAGGTCAATGAACATTAGTGACATAGCGAAGCTTCCACCCTGTTGGGGGTTGGGGGTCTCGGAGGTGGAATTTAATTTTTTTTTCAAAAATAACGCTGGAAATTGATAGGGAATTAAATTTTGAGCAGAAAATATTCGAAAAATTTTTACGAGAAATTAATAGTTTTTTAGTTATTCACAATTGAAAACTTGGAATTTTAAGTGAAAAAAAAACGCTTTTTTAAAGAATTTTTCGCGAATAACTCAAAAACTACGCATTTTATTAAAAAAAGTGTAATGAACAAAAATGTAGCTTAAAAATAAACAAAGAAAATCGCTTTTCAAAAAGTGTTGTATGTCCTAGACCAGGGGTCGGCAAGTAATTATAGGTGGGGTCCGGTTATTTTTGAAAATTTTTGACGAGGTCCAGAAGAAAATTCATATTTCTTATTTTTTTATTTTAATTTAATCTGCTTACTAATCATTAAGAACTCACACACTCACACAATTGAAAAATACTAGAAAAAAATGATAAGATTGGCACTTAAACGTAAAAAACATTTTTTAAATAATTTACTTGAGTAATTTATACTTTCAAAAAATTTTTGGCGGTCCAGTATTTTACCTTCCGCGGTCCGGACCTGGACCGCGGTCCGCCAGTTNAGGTTCGTGATTCTGAACGGGTTTTTCAACAGCATTTTCCTGAGCTTTTTGCTTGAGCGCCCTTTGATATTCGTAAGGGAATACTTTCACAAACTCCTTCCTTCTAGAGTCAAATTCAATGATGAGCTGTTCGGCTACTATGCTTCCCGTTAATTCTTGGAATTCTTTCAGCAGCTGCTTAACCAGATCCACATCGTATTTGTCTTCCAATTTACACAATTCCACCATCTCCGGGTTGCATTTCGTTGAGAATTTACCGTCGATATCCCAAACATAAGCGATACCTCCAGACATGCCAGCAGCAAAGTTTCTTCCAGTCAATCCTAAAAAATAATTAGAATTTTTCACAATACATATTGGTTTGTTTTTTTTTATTACACTTTAAGAACAAGTAGATTATTAAAAAATAGTGACATTTTGCTGTATACAGAGCATCTGCGTATAACTGCATTATGTTTAATATGTAGCAGAATACTTAGTAATCTGATGGATTTTAATTTATTTTAATTATTTAAATTTTTTAATAAAACTTATTTTTTTAAAGCACTGTGTTTAATCTGTGAATCTAAGTGCCAATGACATTAACCTAGTTTACGTGAACTCTATAATAACAATCCACCTGATGTGATATGACAACATGGCAAAAAACAAAAAATGGCTGAATAAAATGTTATCATTTCATTTTATTACATCTATTTTAGTGAAGCTTTTGGCCTCCGAATTCTTTGAATCTGAACCAATCGACTTGAAATTGACGCCGATTGACGCTTCCACCCTGTTGGGGGTGAATTTTTTTTTTTCAAAAATAAGGCTGGAAATCGACAATCAAATTTTGAGAAAAAAATATTCGAAGAATTTTTTCGAGAAATAAATAGGTTTTTAGTTAGTCACGATTGAAAAGTTGGAATTTTGAGTGAAAAAAAAAAAACACTTTTTCAAAGTATTTTTCGCGAATAACTCAAAAACTACGCATTTTATTAAAAAAAAAGTGTAATAAACAAAAATGTAGCTTATAAATAAACAAAGAAAATCGTTTTTAAAAAGTGTTGTACATCTTATACAAAGCGAAATATGGTTAGTGGAAGGAGACTTGTTTTGGGGGAATACTCGAATCGATGTATTCAACGTCAAATAACAGAAAAAGGATTAATTATACGTGTATAACGCTCCACGCAAAATGAGCACTTATAAAAGTTAATTAAAGTAAAATTGAAGGAGTTATCGTCAAAAACAGATTGGAGGGTTGCTCATATTTTTTAAGGAAAAATGAGCAGTAAACGCTGTACTATTTCCATCAGAATTAAAATTAATCGTAGACCCTTTACAATTAGTTTTGTTTTAGTATTTTTCATATGATCCTGAAGTTAGACCAGTTTAGAATGCGTATTTTTTGAATAATGTACGGTAAAAGTTAAAACGTATTTTCATTATTAAAAAAAATTTGCCTTTTATAACTCTGAAGCTATGAAAGGTACGTAAAAAATGATAGACAACAAAAATGTAGCTTTTTTTTCAACAAATATTTTGCTTTTTTTTTATTCCTATGACATAAAAAATAAATGAGATATCGCCGCTTGATGTGTCCATTTTAATGAAGAAACGACCTGTCTCGAGCCCTTCGATCCTTTCCCTTTAAAAAACAAAGAACTTAAAACTATATGCAAACGATCTTACAGGTCTTGAAAGTATCTTTAAAATGCTTTTTTGTAAGATACTATAGCTTCAAAATTAACAAAGTTATGGTAAAAAAAACAATGACATTTTTTATCATTTTTTTAGCACAGGGGTGATTTATAAGGGTTGAAAAGTGTTATGAGATACAAATTCTTTCATAAGCAATGAGGGAATTTTTATTTTAAATAATTGCACCATTAAAGCATTCCAAGCTTTAAAAAGTAATTTTATATCATTTTTGTTAATACAGGGGTGGTTTTTAGGGGTTGAAATTATTTTATTAGCTATAAGGTAACTTTTATTTTAAATAGTTGCACGATTTAATCATTCTAAATCTTCTTCTCTAAAAAGTAATTTTTTATCATTATTTTTTGCATAGGGGTAGTTTTTAAGGGTTAAATAAGGGGTCGAAAAGATCAAATATATCATAAAACATGTTCGAGAACATGGAACATGAAATCTTTGTGCTTGAACAAGATTTTTATCAATAAAATGCTTAAAACTTAATTTTTTCAATTTTTTTCACTTAGGGGTAGTTTTTCCCCTAAAAAACAAAAAGCGTCAATTGGGCTTATGTCACTTCTCGAACTCGAGCCTAAGATGAGCCTTATTCTAAATTTTCATGCAAATCCATGCAGTGTCAAAGAATTTGGAGGTTACAGCTGATTTTCAGCTTCAATGACTGTACTATTTTAGTTTTCATTATATTTATTTATGAGACATTTTTAATTTGGTAAGTAATTTTGGGACTTTCTGCATGAAGTATTAGTTTTACTGAAAACGAAATAAAATTTGTATAGTGCAGTGTTGAGTTTATTTTGGATTTAGTAACTGAACGGTGTTTGTGCGTCTTCATCGTTAAATTTCTGTCTGAAATTATGAAGAGATCAGTATAACAATAATATTTGCCATAGCTCCTAAATAAATTTGCATTTGTGGTTAGCGGGTGCCGTTGTTTGAGGTTATATTAGCCTATTCGGCGAGGTATGAAAATTACGAAATAATGGTTAAAAAAACACTTTGTTGTCACAACGAAATTTGAGAAAATAAACTTGTAATAGTTGTTTCTAAAGGTCAACGGTAGCGTCTGCATAAATATGGCTCCCTCACAAAGTTATATCCTGTATAACAAACTAATATTTTTTTTTCTTTGAGAATCTACCTGTTCCGAACGTTAAAAAAAAATACAACTAATAATATATTTTACAAATTCCTCAAAATCTGTACAAAATATATTTTCACTGTCGCTACTTACCAAGAATGAGAATGATGCCTCCCGTCATATATTCACAGCCATGGTCACCAACACCTTCAACGACAGCTATAGCTCCAGAGTTCCTAACGGCAAAACGTTCAGAAGCGATGCCCCTCATATAAGCTCGACCTGATGTAGCTCCATACAAACAAACGTTGCCGACTATCACGTTCAGATGCGACTCAAACGGAGAAGTTTTTGGTGGGTAAATGATGATATTGCCCCCCGATAGACCTTTTCCTGAAAAAAAAGGAGGGGTTTGAGGGTAAATATTTGTTTCGCGGTGATGTTATTTATGTTACCTACCTACATAATCGTTTGCATCTCCCTCTAGAGTTACCGTGACCCCTCTAGCTAGGAAAGCGCAGAAACTCTGGCCGGCAGATCCTGTTAGTCTTATATTAATGTTACTTCCTTCGGGTAAACCATCTTCTTGGTATTTGCTAAAAGAAAATAGTAAAGTAGAATAACTTAATAGAAAACACCCACAAGGTTTTTGCAATTTTTTTTTGCTCTAGGTTCTCATTCTTTTAGATTTAATAAAACGGGTCAAAACAAAACTCACCAAGAAATATGGTAACTCAAAGTAGAAGCAAAGGCTCTCTCTTCGTTGCATATCTTCATTTCGATATCAACAGATTTTTCTGTTCCATCAATGACAGCCTTGGCTTTTTCGATGAGCACGTTGTCCGATCTCTGTTCCAGCTGGAAGTCTTGAACCACCGAACCACCCTTGATGTTAACTCCGGGTCTCATATGGAGGGCGTTTTGTAAAATCAAATTGAGATTCAACATTTTAGCCTTCGTGGATCCGTTATCGACAACCTTCAAAAGATCGGTTCTGCCCACAAGTTCTTGGAAAGTACGAACCTAAAAGAAGAAAATTATACACTGATATCGTTTAAATTCTAGACGTCTTACCCCAAGCTTCGCCATATTTTCACGAACTTCCTCCGCTAACATAAACAAATAGTTGATGACATGTTCCGGCTGACCAGTAAATTTCTTCCTAAGGATTGGATCTTGAGTGGCTATACCTACAGGGCAAGTATTTAAATGACACTTACGCATCATCGTACAACCCATGACTATCAATGGGGCCGTACTGAATCCAATCTCGTCGGCACCTAGTATAGCAGCAACTACCACATCGAAACCTAAAATTCACATGTAGGTTTTTTAATGCACCATTTTTTTAATTTTTCTATAAACGAAATAGTGTCAACTAAGTGGAATGCAAAATTTCAAACTATTTTCTACCTGTACGAATATTTCCATCAGCTTGTAGCACGATTCTAGACCTTAAATTATTGAGTACCAACACTTGATGCGTTTCGGCAATACCCAGTTCCCATGGCAAGCCAGCACTCTTGATACCAGTCCAGGAACTGGCTCCAGTACCGCCATCGTGACCGGATACGACGATGTGTTCGGCTTTACCTTTAGCGACTCCCGAAGCTACGACCCCTACACCCACTTCCGATACTAATTTCACAGAGATCCTGGCTTTGGGATTGGCACATTTCAAATCGTAGATGAGCTCAGCCAGGTCTTCAATGGAGTAGATGTCGTGGTGAGGCGGGGGTGAAATTAAGCCTACGCCAGCCACGGAATGTCTCGTTTTGGCAATATCGGCTGAGACTTTGTAGCTGAAAGGAAAATATTTTTTTTCAGGCACGGAACTAAAATATTTCTATTTGAGCTTAAATGAAACACAAATAAATGCTTCTTCAACGGTGTACCTAATAGTTTTTTTGCAAAAATTATACTAATAAGAAACAGATATTTAAAACAAATATGTATGACTTCTGACGCTAAACACGTCAATAGTTTGAAAATATACTAATGTTATTTTATTTAAAGCATATTTTTACAAAAGCAAAATATGTATTTCTCTTTTAATTTTAATATTTATATTTTAATTATTTGTGTATTGCAATCTATTTTTCAAATAAACTTTTACTGTGATATACTTAGAGGTTATGTCTTTACTATGACCACCAGTGAATGTGTTGTGTGCATGTGGATGGGAAGATTATGACTAAACATATTTTTTTGCTGTTCATGTATGGATCTTATTTTGCAATAATTATTTGTCCATTATTTGAAACATTTTAAAATAATCACATGAAATNTGATGAGCTGTTCGGCTACTATGCTTCCCGTTAATTCTTGGAATTCTTTCAGCAGCTGCTTAACCAGATCCACATCGTATTTGTCTTCCAATTTACACAATTCCACCATCTCCGGGTTGCATTTCGTTGAGAATTTACCGTCGATATCCCAAACATAAGCGATACCTCCAGACATGCCAGCAGCAAAGTTTCTTCCAGTCAATCCTAAAAAATAATTAGAATTTTTCACAATACATATTGGTTTGTTTTTTTTTATTACACTTTAAGAACAAGTAGATTATTAAAAAATAGTGACATTTTGCTGTATACAGAGCATCTGCGTATAACTGCATTATGTTTAATATGTAGCAGAATACTTAGTAATCTGATGGATTTTAATTTATTTTAATTATTTAAATTTTTTAATAAAACTTATTTTTTTAAAGCACTGTGTTTAATCTGTGATTCTAAGTGTCAATGACATTAACCTAGTTTATGTGAACTCTATAATAACAATCCACCTGATGGCAAAAAACAAAAAAATGTCCGAATAAAATGTTATCATTTCATTTTATTACATCTATTTTAGTACAGTCATTTAAGCTTTTGACCTCCGAATTCTTTGAAACTGAACTGATCGACTTGAAATTTGGCAGGTAGTTATAGAAAAGGTCAATGAACATTAGTGACATAGCGAAGCTTCCACCCTGTTGGGGGTTGGGGGTCTCGGAGGTGGAATTTAATTTTTTTTTCAAAAATAACGCTGGAAATTGATAGGGAATTAAATTTTGAGCAGAAAATATTCGAAAAATTTTTACGAGAAATTAATAGTTTTTTAGTTATTCACAATTGAAAACTTGGAATTTTAAGTGAAAAAAAAACGCTTTTTTAAAGAATTTTTCGCGAATAACTCAAAAACTACGCATTTTATTAAAAAAAGTGTAATGAACAAAAATGTAGCTTAAAAATAAACAAAGAAAATCGCTTTTCAAAAAGTGTTGTATGTCCTAGACCAGGGGTCGGCAAGTAATTATAGGTGGGGTCCGGTTATTTTTGAAAATTTTTGACGAGGTCCAGAAGAAAATTCATATTTCTTATTTTTTTATTTTAATTTAATCTGCTTACTAATCATTAAGAACTCACACACTCACACAATTGAAAAATACTAGAAAAAAATGATAAGATTGGCACTTAAACGTAAAAAACATTTTTTAAATAATTTACTTGAGTAATTTATACTTTCAAAAAATTTTTGGCGGTCCAGTATTTTACCTTCCGCGGTCCGGACCTGGACCGCGGTCCGCCAGTTGCCGACCCTTGTCCTAGACCAAGCAAAATATGGTTAGTGGTTTTACGTGTAACGCTCCTGGAGTTTTTTGTAGTACTCAAAAAGACCTTCAAAATGAGCACTTATAAAAGTTAATTAGACCAAATTTGAAGGAGTTATCGTTAAAAACAGATGGGTTGCTCATATTTTTTAAGGAAAAATGAGCAGTAAACGCTGTACCATTTCCATCAGAATTAAAATTAATCGTAGACCCTCTACAATTAGTTTTGTTTTAGTATTTTTCATATGATCCTGAAGTTAGACCAGTTTAGAATGCGTATTTTTTAAATAATGTACGGTAAAAGTTGAAAACGTATTTTTCATTATTCAAAAAAAATTGCCTTATTTGTATAATAACTCCGAAACTATGAAAGATACGTAAAAAATGATAGACAACAATAATGTAGCTTTTTTTTCAACAAATATTTTACTTTTTTTTATTCCTATAGCATAAAAAAATAAAGGAGATATCGCCACTTAAAGTGTCCATTTTAATGAAGAAACGACCCGTCTCGAGCTATTCGATCCTTTCCCTTTAAAAAACGAAGGACTTAAAAGGTTTTATATGCAAATGATCTTACAGCTCTTGAAATTATCTTTAAAATGCTTTTTTGTAGGATACTATAGCTTCAAAATTATGTCAAAATTATGTTAAAAAATAAAACCGTTATGGTAAAAAAACCAATAACATTTTTTATCATTTTTTAAATTTTTTAGCACGGGTGATTTATAAGGGTTGAAAACTGTTACGAGATACAAATTCTTTCATAAGCAATGAGGGAATTTTTATTTTAAATAATTGCACCATAATTTTTATCATTATTTTTTGCATAGGGGTAGTTTTTAAGAGTTAAATAAGGGGTCGAAAAGATCAAATATATCATAAAACATGTACGAGAACATGGAACATTATTTAATCTTTGTGCTTGAATAAGATTTTTATCAATAAAATGCTTAAAACTTAATTTTTTCTATTTTCTTCTCTTAGGGGTAGTTTTGACCCTTAAAAAACAAAAAGCGTGCATTGGGCTTATGTCACTTTTGAACTCGAGCCTAAGATATGCCTTATTCTAAATTTTCATGCAAATCCATGCAGTGTCAAAGAATTTGGAGGTTACAGCTGATTTTCAGCTTCAATGACTGTACTATTTTAGTTTTCATTATATTTATTTATGAGACATTTTTAATTTGGTAAGTAATTTTGGGACTTTCTGCATGAAGTATTAGTTTTACTGAAAACGAAATAAAATTTGTATAGTGCAGTGTTGAGTTTATTTTGGATTTAGTAACTGAACGGTGTTTGTGCGTCTTCATCGTTAAATTTCTGTCTGAAATTATGAAGAGATCAGTATAACAATAATATTTGCCATAGCTCCTAAATAAATTTGCATTTGTGGTTAGCGGGTGCCGTTGTTTGAGGTTATATTAGCCTATTCGGCGAGGTATGAAAATTACGAAATAATGGTTAAAAAAACACTTTGTTGTCACAACGAAATTTGAGAAAATAAACTTGTAATAGTTGTTTCTAAAGGTCAACGGTAGCGTCTGCATAAATATGGCTCCCTCACAAAGTTATATCCTGTATAACAAACTAATATTTTTTTTTCTTTGAGAATCTACCTGTTCCGAACGTTAAAAAAAAATACAACTAATAATATATTTTACAAATTCCTCAAAATCTGTACAAAATATATTTTCACTGTCGCTACTTACCAAGAATGAGAATGATGCCTCCCGTCATATATTCACAGCCATGGTCACCAACACCTTCAACGACAGCTATAGCTCCAGAGTTCCTAACGGCAAAACGTTCAGAAGCGATGCCCCTCATATAAGCTCGACCTGATGTAGCTCCATACAAACAAACGTTGCCGACTATCACGTTCAGATGCGACTCAAACGGAGAAGTTTTTGGTGGGTAAATGATGATATTGCCCCCCGATAGACCTTTTCCTGAAAAAAAAGGAGGGGTTTGAGGGTAAATATTTGTTTCGCGGTGATGTTATTTATGTTACCTACCTACATAATCGTTTGCATCTCCCTCTAGAGTTACCGTGACCCCTCTAGCTAGGAAAGCGCAGAAACTCTGGCCGGCAGATCCTGTTAGTCTTATATTAATGTTACTTCCTTCGGGTAAACCATCTTCTTGGTATTTGCTAAAAGAAAATAGTAAAGTAGAATAACTTAATAGAAAACACCCACAAGGTTTTTGCAATTTTTTTTTGCTCTAGGTTCTCATTCTTTTAGATTTAATAAAACGGGTCAAAACAAAACTCACCAAGAAATATGGTAACTCAAAGTAGAAGCAAAGGCTCTCTCTTCGTTGCATATCTTCATTTCGATATCAACAGATTTTTCTGTTCCATCAATGACAGCCTTGGCTTTTTCGATGAGCACGTTGTCCGATCTCTGTTCCAGCTGGAAGTCTTGAACCACCGAACCACCCTTGATGTTAACTCCGGGTCTCATATGGAGGGCGTTTTGTAAAATCAAATTGAGATTCAACATTTTAGCCTTCGTGGATCCGTTATCGACAACCTTCAAAAGATCGGTTCTGCCCACAAGTTCTTGGAAAGTACGAACCTAAAAGAAGAAAATTATACACTGATATCGTTTAAATTCTAGACGTCTTACCCCAAGCTTCGCCATATTTTCACGAACTTCCTCCGCTAACATAAACAAATAGTTGATGACATGTTCCGGCTGACCAGTAAATTTCTTCCTAAGGATTGGATCTTGAGTGGCTATACCTACAGGGCAAGTATTTAAATGACACTTACGCATCATCGTACAACCCATGACTATCAATGGGGCCGTACTGAATCCAATCTCGTCGGCACCTAGTATAGCAGCAACTACCACATCGAAACCTAAAATTCACATGTAGGTTTTTTAATGCACCATTTTTTTAATTTTTCTATAAACGAAATAGTGTCAACTAAGTGGAATGCAAAATTTCAAACTATTTTCTACCTGTACGAATATTTCCATCAGCTTGTAGCACGATTCTAGACCTTAAATTATTGAGTACCAACACTTGATGCGTTTCGGCAATACCCAGTTCCCATGGCAAGCCAGCACTCTTGATACCAGTCCAGGAACTGGCTCCAGTACCGCCATCGTGACCGGATACGACGATGTGTTCGGCTTTACCTTTAGCGACTCCCGAAGCTACGACCCCTACACCCACTTCCGATACTAATTTCACAGAGATCCTGGCTTTGGGATTGGCACATTTCAAATCGTAGATGAGCTCAGCCAGGTCTTCAATGGAGTAGATGTCGTGGTGAGGCGGGGGTGAAATTAAGCCTACGCCAGCCACGGAATGTCTCGTTTTGGCAATATCGGCTGAGACTTTGTAGCTGAAAGGAAAATATTTTTTTTCAGGCACGGAACTAAAATATTTCTATTTGAGCTTAAATGAAACACAAATAAATGCTTCTTCAACGGTGTACCTAATAGTTTTTTTGCAAAAATTATACTAATAAGAAACAGATATTTAAAACAAATATGTATGACTTCTGACGCTAAACACGTCAATAGTTTGAAAATATACTAATGTTATTTTATTTAAAGCATATTTTTACAAAAGCAAAATATGTATTTCTCTTTTAATTTTAATATTTATATTTTAATTATTTGTGTATTGCAATCTATTTTTCAAATAAACTTTTACTGTGATATACTTAGAGGTTATGTCTTTACTATGACCACCAGTGAATGTGTTGTGTGCATGTGGATGGGAAGATTATGACTAAACATATTTTTTTGCTGTTCATGTATGGATCTTATTTTGCAATAATTATTTGTCCATTATTTGAAACATTTTAAAATAATCACATGAAATATTACCTCTATCATATTTAATTTTGTTCGCTTATAATATTTTACATAGTCAGATTATTCTTCCCGATTTGTTGGCGTCTATTAATATTAATGTACCCGATATGAGAATGCGAACTAGATATAGACTTTTTAAAATATTTAATATTAATTCACCCCTAGAACAGTGTCTGTGTACGGTGAATAATTTGTTAAGAACTTACGATATTGATATTTTTAATATTAGTCGGACTAAGCTACTCTCATACTTATGATACGTATACGATTGGGTGTTTTATGTACATTTTAATTGACANCTTCCTTCGGGTAAACCATCTTCTTGGTATTTGCTAAAAGAAAATAGTAAAGTAGAATAACTTAATAGAAAACACCCACAAGGTTTTTGCAATTTTTTTTTGCTCTAGGTTCTCATTCTTTTAGATTTAATAAAACGGGTCAAAACAAAACTCACCAAGAAATATGGTAACTCAAAGTAGAAGCAAAGGCTCTCTCTTCGTTGCATATCTTCATTTCGATATCAACAGATTTTTCTGTTCCATCAATGACGGCCTTGGCTTTTTCGATGAGCACGTTGTCAGATCTCTGTTCCAGCTGGAAGTCTTGAACCACCGAACCACCCTTGATGTTAACTCCGGGTCTCATATGGAGGGCGTTTTGTAAAATCAAATTGAGATTCAACATTTTAGCCTTCGTCGATCCGTTATCGACAACCTTCAAAAGATCGGTTCTGCCCACAAGTTCTTGGAAAGTACGAACCTAAAAGAAGAAAATTATACATTGATACCATTTAAATTCTAGACGTCTTACCCCAAGCTTCGCCATATTTTCACGAACTTCCTCCGCTAACATAAACAAATAGTTGATGACATGTTCCGGCTGACCAGTAAATTTCTTCCTAAGGATTGGATCTTGAGTGGCTATACCTACAGGGCAAGTATTTAAATGACACTTACGCATCATCGTACAACCCATGACTATTAATGGGGCCGTACTGAATCCAATCTCGTCGGCACCTAGTATAGCAGCAACTACCACATCGAAACCTAAAATTCACATGTAGGTTTTTTAATGCACCATTTTTTTAATTTTTCTATAAACGAAATAGTGTCAACTAAGTGGAATGCAAAATTTCAAACTATTTTCTACCTGTACGAATATTTCCATCAGCTTGTAGCACGATTCTAGACCTTAAATTATTGAGTACCAACACTTGATGCGTTTCGGCAATACCCAGTTCCCATGGCAAGCCAGCACTCTTGATACCAGTCCAGGAACTGGCTCCAGTACCGCCATCGTGACCGGATACGACGATGTGTTCGGCTTTACCTTTAGCGACTCCCGAAGCTACGACCCCTACACCCACTTCCGATACTAATTTCACAGAGATCCTGGCTTTGGGATTGGCACATTTCAAATCGTAGATGAGCTCAGCCAGGTCTTCAATGGAGTAGATGTCGTGGTGAGGCGGGGGTGAAATTAAGCCTACGCCAGCCACGGAATGTCTCGTTTTGGCAATATCGGCTGAGACTTTGTAGCTGAAAGGAAAATATTTTTTTTCAGGCACGGAACTAAAATATTTCTATTTGAGCTTAAATGAAACACAAATAAATGCTTCTTCAACGGTGTACCTAATAGTTTTTTTGCAAAAATTATACTAATAAGAAACAGATATTTAAAACAAATATGTATGACTTCTGACGCTAAACACGTCAATAGTTTGAAAATATACTAATGTTATTTTATTTAAAGCATATTTTTACAAAAGCAAAATATGTATTTCTTTTAATTTTAATATTTATATTTTAGTTATTTGTGTATTGCAATCTATTTTTCAAATAAACTTTTATTGTGATATACTTAGAGGTAGAGATGGGCAATGGGAAATTGTCCGTTCCGGAAAGTTTCCAAAATGGAAATTTTCCGGGAAGAAATAATCGAAGCTTAAGAAATTTTCCCTGGAAAGTTTCTGGAAAAATTTCCATCAGAAATTTTCCGGGAATATTTCTAACAATTTGTATACTTGGAGCCAATTTTACTTCTAACTTATGTGAATACAACCTCAAAAAAATCGTTAGTTAATTTCGGATTTTCGGTTAATTCGGAATACCAGAAGGCCATATTATCCAAATTAGTCAGAAAATACTTACACTTACTTATTTTAATCTTTGTTAAGTCTAACATACAATCTACATAATAGAGAGCAATACAAGACATAAATTGCCTCTCCCTTTCCAAATTTAAAATAAATTTTGATAGTTGAACCAAAGTACAATTACATTTTAAAACTACTAAAACTAGTATAATTAGTAATGTAATTTTTATTAACCGATGATTAATAATTTATATTTTTCAAATATTTATACCAACTTAAACAAAAATGTATAAGTATTCGGTCTTTTTGGAAAGCTGATGGTATGTAGAACACAATACCCAATCCAAAAAAAAAAATATTGAAAATTTCGGAAAATTTGCAGAATTTTCAGTGAACTTTTCAGGAATTTTCATAGTTTGGGAATTTTCCCATCTCTACTTAGAGGTTATGTCTTTACTATGACTACCAGTGAATATGTTGTGTGCATGTGGATGGGAAGATTATGACTAAACATATTTTTTTGCTGTTCATGTATCTTATTTTGCAATAAATATTAGTCCAATATTTGAAAAATTTTAAAATAATCACATGAAATATTACCTCTATCATATTTAATTTTGTTTGCTTATAATATTTTACATAGTCAGATTGTTCTTCCCGATTTGTTGACGATATGAGAATGCGAACTAGATATAGACTTTTTAAAATATTTAATATTAATTCACCCCTAGAACAGTGTCTGTATATGGTGAATAATTTGTTAAGAACTTACGATATTGATATTTTTAATATTAGTCGGACTAAACTACTCTCATACTTATGAAACGTATACGATTGGGTGTTTTATATACATTTTAATTGACATCTTTTTGTTTTCTTTATTTGTTCTCTTTTTACATTGTATTTTGCATGTGTCTGGTTGTGTATACATTATTTTTAACTGGTTTTTATATTAGCTAACATTTCTCAACTGTATACATGTAATTGGTCTGTCCCTTTGTCTGTATGTATGCAGTAGAAATAAATAAATAAATAATAAAGAAAAATAAATGATTTTAAGGGAACTATTAAAATATAGGGAAAAATTGGTCATTTTAAATAATTGATGGTCATTTATGAAAGAGACCAGTCGCTTATAGTCACCAACTTTATTAATTTTTGGTCAGTGACTACGCCACCATTAAAAATAACTACATTCAGAACCGAATTTGAAATTTCCGCTGAAGGGGTTATATCACTGGAAAATTTTTTTTTTTTTTTTTTTATTGGCTTAAAGTACACTAAAATATTCCTAGATAAAAAAACTTTTTTACATGAAAAAACTCAGAAATATCTGTAAAATTAATTTTTCCGAAGCATATCCGAAGTGTAAAAATAACAGATTTCGCTTCTATTGTTGATACAGCATTTTTGAATTTCTTGCATGTAAAAACGCCTATAACTTACCGATCATCAAAGTAAAGTAAAGAAATCCGTGCGATAGACAAGGACGGTTATATTGAAAACGTTTCATGAAACTCGCCTATTTGATGGTTCGGTTTTTTTCACTAGCTAAACTCATGTAGTTTAGAGGTGATCCAGGGGACTTCTACTGCATGCTGCAGACTACCTTTGAAAAATTTAGTTTTGTTCATGTGCTCCTAGAGCCGCAAGAAATTTTCAAAAAAAAATTTTTTTCCATTTTAATCATAATTTGTTAAAAACTTACGATATTGATATTTTTAATATTAGTCGGACTAAACTACTCTCATACTTATGATACGTATACGATTGGGTGTTTTATGTACATTTTAATTGACATTTTTTTTTTTTCTTTATTTGATCTCTTTTTACATTGTATTTTGCTTGTGTCTGGTTGTTTATACATTATTTTTAACTGGTTTTTATATTAGTTAACATTTCTCAACTGTATACATGTAATTGGACTGTCCCTTTGTCTGTATGTATGCAGTATAAATAAATAAATAAATAAATAACAAAGAAAAATATATGATTTTAAGGGAATTATTGAAATATAGGGAAAAATTGGTCATTTTAAATATTTGATGGTAATTTATTAATTTTTGGTCAGTGACTGCGCCACCATTAAAAATAACTACATTCAGAACCGAATTTGAAATTTCCGCTGAAGGGTTATATCACTGGAAAATTTTTTTTTTAATTTTTTTTTATTGGCTTAAAGTACACTAAAACATTCCTAGATTAATAATAAAAAACTTTTTTACATGAAAAAACGCAGAAATATCCGTAAAATTAATTTTTCCGAAGCATATCCGAAGTGTAAAAATAACAGATTTCACTTCTATTGTTGATACAACATTTTTGAATTTCTTGCATGTAAAAATGCCTATAACTTACCGATCATCAAAGTAAAGTAAAGAAATCCGTGCGATAGACAAGGATGGTTATATTGAAAACGTTTCATGAAACTCGCCTATTTGATGGTTCTGTTTTTTTCACTAGCTAAACTCATGTAGTTTATGAAAAAAATTTGTTTATGGTTCCAGATGGTGATCCAGGAGACTTCTACTGCTCGCCACAGACTACCTTTGAAAAATTTAGTTTTGTTCATGTGCTCCTAGAGCCGCAAGAAATTTTCAAAAAAAAATTTTTTTCTTACTCCTGAAGAGTTGCTTAATCGATAGGTGTATTGGTTGTTCTTGATTATTATTAAAGAATGTTTAAAAAAATTCTCGAAAAAAGCCTTTTTTTGCGGCACCAGAGTGATATAACCCCTTAATGATATCGCAACGTATATTTAATTTTTTTTTATACGATATATACGAGTCCCATATTTGTTAACCTGTTTTCATTTTATGATGTAGTCAACCTCAGAAATTAAAATACTAGATGGTGATTCTCCCATAAAATCAATGACCCTATTATTTATGCTATAAACAGAGGCCACAGGGATTTTATTACAGAAAGTTTGACTAATTCTCTAACTGATTCTTCTTAAGAGGGCTCTATAGCAAATAGGCAACCAGCAATACATTTTTATAGATTTTATTACATAGCTTGTCTAAATATGAATCAACGCACAAATAACAGACTTTCCTCCATTCTGACGTAGATTTTTTATGAAATGGAGTTAATTTCAAACTCAGATTACTTTTTGTTGCAAAGAAATTTGCAATTTTCTGCTTTTGAACAAGCGGCATCGTGAATTACATATTTCTTTATGTCAAAATGTTATTTGTTTTTCACTCTGTTTCTTTTTTATAGAATCTGTGTTTTAATGTGGGGGAGTCTGTTATTTGTGCATTAATTCATATTTCGACAAACTGTGTAATAAAATCTATAAAAATGTATTGCTGGTTGCCTATTTGGTATAGAGCCCTCTTAAATAAAAACAATTATTGAAGAATATGTTTTTAATATTTTTTTGTTCACTTACCCAGGAAGTTCACCACCCTCTCCAGGCTTAGCGCCCTGGGCCATCTTAATCTGCAAATCATCGGAATGTGCCAAATAGGAAGAAGTAACTCCGAACCTCCCAGAAGCTACTTGCTTGATCGATGATCTCTTCTGGGCGTCTAGGTATCGTTCAGGATCTTCGCCTCCTTCACCAGTGTTACTTTTACCTAAAATCAATAGTAATGGAACCAAATCAGAAAACTAACTTAACGTATGTATATTTTACCTCCAACTTTGTTCATGGCGATGGCAAGGGTCTGATGAGCTTCAAGACTGATCGAACCAAAACTCATGGCTCCAGTGGCAAATCTCTTAACGATTTCGGATGCAGGTTCTATTTCATCCAAAGACAGGGGTTGGTCCAAGGTTCGTAGATCTAAACGACCACGCAACATGCAGTTTCTCACGGACTCCATGGTAGATTCCTTGAATTTGTCATAGGCCGTTTTACTCTTGTTTACAGCTGATTCCTGGAATATATTTCATGTTTGAATCGATTTTTATTTATTTATTACTTTCTTACCTGAAGGGCAGCGATACTCAAAGGTTCATTCAAATGCTTCTCCCCTCCAGCCCTCCAGTGATAATTTCCAGCGTCTCTCAAAATAAGCTGATCGGGAGCTTGCCTAAAGGCATTCTGATGTCTTTCGAGAGCTTCAGCCGCCAACACTTCTAAATTAGCACCCCCAAGCCTTGAAGGGGTTCCCTTGAAGGCCTTTTCTATTACGTCCTCAGCCAAGCCGACAGCTTCGAAAATCTGCGCTCCCTTGTACGACTGCAAAGTAGAAATACCCATTTTCGCCATAACTTTACTTATGCCCGTCATCATCGCTTGTGCATAGTTCTGATAAATTACATCGTCTGTGAGGGATGTGTCTAGAACTCCTTGATCACGGAGGCTATAGGCTAGTTCTAGAGCTAGATACGGGCAAATCGCATCAGCGCCGTAGCCTAACAGAACGCATATGTGGTGAACTTCTCTGGCTTCTGCGCTCTCTACTATCAAGGCTACTTTCATTCGAGAACGAGATTCAATTAAATGGTGGTGAGTGGCCCCTGAAAAATAGAAAATAATAATAATAACAGCTCTTTATTGACACTAAGCACAATATCATGCCTATATTAGGTCACCGATCAGTGCGGGTTTCTATGTACAGTATAGTTGTTACGATATCAGTTGGAACCGCATAAAAACTCATAAACTCCATAGGCGTCCAGAAAAATTTTGTCCTGTCTCGTCTAGAAATACTATATTCCGAGCTATATTCCTATTTAGTTGACGATATTCTCGAATTTTTTGTAAATAATCTTCCCAAAGTGCAACCATACGTCGTGATTCCATAAGTACGATACGATTGTCAAGTTTTTTATGTTTAATACCGCATTGTAATAAAAAACATGTCGTAAAGTATCTAGATTTTTTCAATTTTAAATGTAAAAAAATTACTTTACTGTAACGAAATATTTGTTTAAAAATTCTATTCAATTTGCGCACTAAAAGTGTACTTACCTAATGCAAGTAAACTGCTGACAGGTACCCTGTCCTGTCCTGCCATCCTATCCGACAGGATAATGATCTGGTGGTTCTTAGCTGCTTCATCGGCCTCTTCACAGATACTTTGCAACTTCTTTAGAAAGCCTGGAATTCCTTCCGAAACAGGAAAAGTTATGTCGATAACATGAGCGCTCCAGTTCCGGTGTGAAGTTTGCGTCAAAACTTCCAGATCGTTTATGGAAATAACGGGATGTTTGAGCCACAACCTGTGGACTTGCTTTGAGCTGGGTTTAAGGATATTATCTTGGGGACCAATGGGACACTGAAGCGATATGACAATCTTTTCACGGAAGGGGTCGATGGGGGGATTGGTGACTTGAGCAAAGAGTTGTTTGAAATATTCGTAAAGAATCGGAGCGAAATGTGAAAGGCAGGCCAAGGGAACGTCGTTACCCATGCTACCAAGAGCCTCTTTTCTGCAATAAATAACGTAAATGAACCCTTATGTATTGTTATTTTAATATAAAAATATAGTGAATAAAAAAAAGTGTTATAAAATGATGTTTTCTAACCAACTTTTACAGAGTTATAACGATAAGTACATTGGAATTATGTAAAATTAAATTGCAGGAATAACAGTTCTAAGTCAACGAGTATTAGTATTAATGCTGGTTTTTGCAAGTACACTGTTAAAATGTAATATACAGGGTGATTCAGTCATAGTGTCATTAATTTTAGCCACGTATTTGGTAGGCCTAATAAAGACAGAAATTAGGAAAAAAAATTTTTTATTCAACTATTAAAAATGAAGGAAATCAACCCATAACTCCCGCTAAGACGGCGGCCCATACAGATGCCCGGATGCTCGAAAAATGTTGAAACGTAATGTCACAAACTATAGTCATCAGCTGAAGCAAATAGCGTTCCCAAGTTCACATCATAATATGTGGTTCGCATTTACTTTCGGTTCCGCGTTAAAACGTATCCACTTAATCTGCTTTAGTATACGTCTAGATATGTGCAAAACCAATAAAATGCAAGTAAATGAAGGAGCATGCTGCATTTTATTATAAATAATTTTAACAATTGTATTAACTAAGTGCAAAATGTTTTAACAAGCCTGACTTCTCGAAGTCAACTTTTGTTAAAAGAAAATAAATAAAGCAGAGGTAGTTACCTGTTTGTAGGCATACCGTATTTTATCAAATAAAAAAAGTCGGCACACTAAATACCGGAATATATAAAATACACTACATATGGATACAAAACCATTAACAATTTAAAGCGTTTAGTCAAATCTACCACCCTCCATATCTCCCGCATTTTTCCCGCTGCAATTGAATACTGGAGACGTTTCCCTGATAGACAGAACTTCCCAAGCCCGCGGACAATTGCGCAAAGCGTCCAACGTCTTCCGTGACACGGGGTCTATCATACCGCGCAGAGAACGTGCAGGACATCTACATTCCACATATGTACATTTTACCTTTGTACACGCCACTGTTGTTTACTTGTTTTTTGGATGCGCTCTCTGATTATGACCAAGCTAACCAGGTTAGTATTTGACTTATAACCGACCACTTCATACACTCAACGCACCTGGGCGACTACAGCTACTACCAGAACACAGTGTGTATGCAGTGGTATTTCAGATTCTACATTCAATTTCATTTTAAATTTGAAATGGTTCATCTTCTGCCTCCTAAAAGTGATGATACGATTTTACTTTGATAAAAGACCGACAACTTTTTGCTCTACTTTGCATCGAATACGATCCGACTACAGTCACATAGTGCATGTGCAAGTCAAAAGTGGGTTAGAAGGTTAGTGACTTGGACAGGTTAGCCTAGGTTAGAAACACGTACCAAGTTATTTATTTGTCTCCGTCCGATTGTTTTTTTTATGGAATATACAAGTCTCTCTTGCATTACTTACAGTCAATATTTAAATACTACATACTTTTCACCCTCTCTTTATAATTTATCTAGTCAGTATTGTTTTTTTTTATATCATTATTTCTGTAATGAAATTGAAACGGTTATGAAATGAAATTTAAATTATTTGAACTCTTGGAGTTTTGTAACTTCAATATTAAATTTTATTTAAAGTGAAACAGAGCTAATTTCTTTGCAGCCATAATAGTCACATTTGGTCAGATGAAAACCTGCGCACTACTCGTCGGTTTAGCTTTCAGAGATTCAGTGTCAATGTATGGGCAGGAGTATATGGCGATCGTTTAATTGGGCCACATTTTCTACCTAAACATCTGAATGGGCTGCGTCACTTTCAATTTTTAGTGAAATTGTTTGAAAACCTTCCCCTTCAGATGTTACGAGATATGTGGTTTATATGCACGATGGAGCTCCGGCCCATTTTGCTTGTGTTTTTTTTTAATCACGCCATCGTATTATACTCATTTTTCTCTATCTCCTCTTAAAATTAATGACATTATGACTGAATCACCCTGTATATTCTTTTAAGACTAGTGAAATTTCTTATAATCTTATTTATTTCTTACAAGCTTCCCTAGACATTCTTATGAATCCTGCAATAGCAATGTTACATTCCTTAGAGTGAACTTGCAAGTCTTGCTTGACCTGACCGTAACACCACCTAATCTAATCTAACCTCAAAAAAATTAGTAAATTCGGTTATTTGAAAAAAAAAAATATATAGATTTAACTTACTTGTTGTTGACCATGGGTAGTAACAGCATATGAATGGTTTCCGTGGAATACCCATAAAGAGGCAACCTTTTGTCTCCCAAGCCGCTGGTCTCGTACTTAGCTTTTATAGCCCTCCCTGCATCTAAATGAGCTTTCCTCAACTCCTCCATCGTAATCTTTAGCAATGAACAGCAAGAATATTAAAAGTTTGAAACATCTAACTAACCTAATTAAAAAATAAATTCCCAACAAAAAATTAGCACAAGATTTTCTACAAGCGGTGTTAAAGGCGAAGCTTTTTTTATTGAACAAATAATGAAAAGGAAGAGATAACACAGAGTGCACAGAAATGGGGCCAAATTAATACCATAACCACTCCACTCACCATCTGAAGTTCGCCAATTCATGCAAGTAGACAAAAAAATATTTCGATTAATGATTTGTTACAATGATCAACAGGTGGACAGTGCACCACATGAATTTGGTTTTTGTTGTCGATATAAATTTTTTCATAACATTACCTGTTCTTTGAGCCATTCGGAATGTGGTCTGGACTTTGCAATCTCGTGTTTCAGTTCCACGTCCTGGATGACGCTTTTTTCTTGAGTGTCCACCAACAGCATTCTTCCGGGTTTTAGACGACTCTTAAAAATCACTTGCGAGGGGTCAACGTCATACACACCAACCTGAAAATTTTAAGCATATACAGAGAGGTAATATTACACTAGATACAAAAACATACCTCACTAGCCATTACCATCATATTATCTTTGGTAATGTAAAACCTGGAAGGTCTCAAACCGTTACGGTCCAAAATGGCCCCGATGAAACGGCCATCAGTGAAAGATATCAAAGCTGGACCGTCCCACGGTTCCATGATGCAAGCCGCCCAATGGTAATAGTCCCTTTTTTCTTCAGACATCGTCGGATCATTTTGCCAGGCTTCGGGAACCATCGTCATAACAGCCTACAAATCAAAATTCAATGGATATGGTACATGATTAACGGTCATACCGACCTCTGGCAATTTCCTGTTTCCAGCATGGACCAGAAACTCCAAAACACAATCCGCAGAACCACTGTCGGATAAATTAGGTTCTACGACTGGATACAGGGTTTTCAATTTATTTCCAAAATCATCATTCTTCATTACTCCTTCTCGAGCTTTCATCAGGTTCACGTTACCACGCTGGGTGTTTATTTCTCCATTGTGGGCTAGCATTCTGCAAAAATAAGTTGTATTCATACAGTCTGGGCATACGTATGTTTCATTGTTATATTACAGTGGTTCTCCATCATTAAAAGCACTTTCGATAAATGTGTCAATTGTTCAACATAATATATGTTTAATTGTTGATGTGTGATAGAAATTATGACAAATGTTAAATACCTGTTGGTGTGTAACATTTTTAAATTTCTAAATGAATACACAAAAATTTTTTTTAAAAACCAATTTATACAAAATTATAAATTTATATAAAATTTGGGAATAGATGCGGCATGAGAAATGGTGTCAATATCATAAAAAAAATGTTTGTAAAATCCTTATAGTTTCCGAGAAAAAAATTATTGAAGTTGTAGTACTTTTAACTATTACATAGCTGGACAAATGTAATCTTTAGCGTCATTCGCAATACACATGAAGAGCCACGTGGCCTCAACGACTCTGAATACTAAAATCCAATTTTACAATGGTCGTTGCGATAGTGTTTACCATAGTTTTTTAGTAGTTAATGTCAAAAATGACTTACGTGTATAGCAACTTGGAGTTGATGGATATCATTTTAATTTATGGCAACAAGACAGTATTTGTATTATGGTGAAGCACGACAACATTTGTGTTAGTTTGTAGAAACTGAGTAAGACGGACCAAAACATGTTTACACTTTGGTGGACAAAATTTTGAACAGTTGTAACATTAGGTAAGTATGTCTTTATTTAAAACCACAAATAAATTTTTTTAAATTAATAATAATTGCGGCAAAAGCAGTTGAATTTGATGATATAAAATACGAACTATAAAATTATATTTATTTCTTTCCTTGCGAAATTCTTTGTCCGTTTTTATTAGTTTACACTCTGCCGCCATGCCGATCACATTGTGCGGGGTCAGGTTTTACAGTGGACCAGTTTCCAGTGCCGTGCAGAAGTATATTTTTAAACCATGTCGAACTGCCCTTTTTGATTTTTTCTTTGTGAATTGTATTTGTAAGTCCCCTGTCCATCCAAAAAAATTTTTTTTGGATAACTTCTGAATCACCCTGTATACAGTGTGTATGGTGTTTGCTGAGATCAAATTTTTACATTTTACTTTAATACGTTGTTTTCAACTCAAGCCCATATCAATTTAATCAGATGAACAGAGAACGTCATGCTGCTAATGTCTTTCTACCCCGTGTATCGAATGTGGTTAATTCCAAGAAAGGGACGTAAGGGAATTCTTGGAATTCTATCTCAATAAATATCGTGCCGACTGTATATACTATTGAAATGTCGCTATTCTCTTGCAAGTGTTAAAATTAAGTGTTAAATATACATTTTAAAACCCATGACATTTGTGTTTCTAGATAGAATAATGGAGTCGCCACATTACCGGTATGTTTAAGGTCTCTAGATTAACTAAGTACTGCGACCGATTGTTCTCATTTTGTCCCAAAATGATTTGATAAATGTCAGTGCATAGATTTAATTTTACAAATATTCCACTGCATATTACTATTGTTAGATTTATTTAAATTTATCTGCCATTAATTAACATTAACATTAAGCAGTTGGATACATACAGGTATACATTATTAATTCTAAATAAAACTAAATTACATCTTAAAATAATTATTTTTGCTATTTTATAGAATGTAATCTTTATATTAAAGATAAACAAACATAAAAGATACAACTGAGAGCTTCCCTACGAGAGTGATTTGAAATGAATATAACAGATGGCGCCCCATTCATTGTTCTAATGAATACTTACAAACATAATATTGAATTGAAGTCTTTGGACCTTACTGAGTTTGTCAATAGATACCCCATTACACTGTATTGGCATGAAAAGTAAATAATTACCGAGTTTTTTGTTCCATTTAGTTATAAGTAAATAAACTGAGTATAATGCTTCTTACCTTAAAGGATGTGCTCTCTCCCAGCTAGGGAACGTGTTAGTGGAGAACCTTGTGTGTACCAATGCTAGGTACGTGTCATACATGGGATCATGCAAATCTGGGTAATAAGTCCATAGCTGATCCGATGTTAATTGACCCTTGTACACAACAATTCTCCGACTCAAGGAACAAATGTAGAACCTCTTTCCTGGTGCCGGAATCGTATGACTGGCACGCTTGCGCAAAACAAAGAATCTCCTGTCTAACTCTTCCTCCGGTACAGGTGTTTTCATAGTGACAAACACCTAAGGAAAGATCCGAATAGAGAATTTCTGTATTAATGAAAACAGATTTTTTTTATTACCTGTCGCATAAACGGTTCAGAGTTCTTGGCAACCGCTCCTATGGAGGAATTGTTGGTTGGTACGGTACGCCAAGCCAACACGGACACATCCAGTTCCTCTGCCAGGGCAGCGAATTTTGTTTCAGATTCTTGATGATGGAGTTTGTCCAAGAAGAATACGCCGGTGGCATATTGGCCAAAAGCCGGTAATTGTACGTTTTGTTCATCTCTAAAAGCAAATATTAAAACAAAATAAATATCTGGAGAACACAGCAGAATGGGTTAATTTCATTGAAATAGAAAATATCAGGAAACAGTTGTACAAGCATCCTTGAAAGCTGTTGTATTTTTAATCTGCAGTAAAATTTTACACGACATTGTTCCAGATGTTACAGCTATGGATATTTATAGATTTAAATCCATGCCATAAAAAATTATAATACCGTAACAAAATTCAGTTCAAAGGTCCAAAAGCTATAATTATCCAAAGATATTTACAGGATAACAGCACCAGACAAATTAATTGCAAAAATTATTCTGTTGAGTCGATTTTGTTGTATGACAAATAATAATCTCGTGATAGCAGGGGGTATTCGTGTTTTGTATGTTTCTTAATATAAGCCAGTGAATGATATGATAACAAAACAAATACTTGGCACATGGGATATGTGAAAAGATGTTGTGTATTATATTTTCGTACATATCAAAAATACTCGTAGAAAATTAAAATAAATCAAGGACGGGCTCAAGGATTTTTAGTGAAATTTGAAATCAGATTGAACAAAACTAAAGTAATACAGAGCAATAATCAAATATAGAATGTTTGAAGGACTGACAAAATTCCCACTACATGATTATACAAACCCATGTAAAAAATATTGGAAGAAAATTCTAGTACAAAGCAGAAATCAATTATATAACATTCACACATTTGCAAATAAATTATGTACATAAAAGACTGTATAGCTTATTTAAAGGAGACATATATTTTACAATGCAATAAATGCAATTGCATTAGAACATAAATTTGTTTAATGTTTATAGTCTTGTTTACGCATTACTAGTAAGAACAACTTTTATGTTTGGCAATCAGCAATTATGTTTAAAAATCGGTACATGTGCTCATGACTAGGAAACTTGTTAACAATAATACTTCAAGAAAATACATAAAACTTTTTTATGTTGCAAAAAATTGTAAATAACTACAATTAAATTGTTTTGAAACACAAAATTTGCATTAGTGGTTTGAAGTGAAAAACAATGCAAAAATAACAGTTATTTGGATATATGTACATTTTAAAGGAAGCAAGACAAAATTACAATACTATATTGATTTAGGTAACCGTTTAAAGTAATTTGAAATATCACAAAATAATCAAAACATTTATTAAAAGTGAGGTTAGAATTGTCAATGACGTGACGTCACATGCTTTATAACCTCAAAACGTCATTTGACTGACACCTCTTCTTCTTCTTCTTCTTCTTCAAATGTTTCTACGACCAACAGGTAATAGCTATATTAGAATAGAATCAATTTAAAAAAATCAGACGCAATCGCATTTCATTCGAAACAATGAATCTTGAACCTTATATAAGCTATTAACTATCTTTTTTTTATGAGGCTTGTTAAATTTTTAAGTTCTTAGTATCTTTCCTTGGAAAACCACTTACTTAAGTTTGGCATAATAGAAATCGTGTGGTATAGCAGTGAGCACTCCGGCACCGTCCCCGGTGTCGTTGTCGCAGGCGCAGGCGCCACGATGGTTCATAGAAATAGCGAGACGCTGGGCATCTCTGACGATCTTGTGGTTACGGCGTCCGTCTATGGCAACTATAAATCCAACTCCGCAGGCCTCCTTCTCGAACTGAGGGTCGTACAAGCCCTGTTTTGGCGGACCCTGCCACGCTTCAGCCATTTAACCACTGAAACAGAAGACATTTTTCAAAATAAGTAAATTTTCTACACCCCGTGTCTCTTAACCGGTCAATATTGTTTATGGCCCAACCGTCATATTTTGGTCTCTAGTGGAGAAGCAAGAACAGCGCCAGAAGAAAGGGCCCTAGCCGGCGGGGCCCAGCCAGGACAAAAGGGGGTCCCACAAAGCGCCTACACCGGCCGTATTTGCGGTCGAGGTAGACGACGGATGGGGCCCACCTACGAAGGCTGTCCAGGCCTACACGAGATGAGGCAGGATAAAGAGGGATAATCCTCCTCGATCCCTAATCACTGAGGCCAATTTCTAGCCATGGAATAATGGCGCGGCGCGGTCTCTAGTGGGCCCGCTTCACATTGCTCTCTTTTACTGTAAAGTGGTTCTGCCACTGATACGAGTATTATTGTATAAGTATTGTATAAAAATATTTCTGCGTTGTAGACTAACTGCGCAAAAGCTTACCTTATACCTACAAAAAAAAAAAACAATAATTCAGTTGCAATGAATTGAAATTATTTTAGCAGTATCTACGTGATAAATAAAAACACGTTCAATAATAGTGTTGTTAATGAAAATATTTTATATGTAGGCAATATTCCAATAAAGAAATAAATCATACCCTATGAACCTGTCACTTAATAGAATGTAAAATTTCCATTGCATAAATTTGAAAATACGTAGACAGGGTTATCTCAGAGATCGGAGATTATTGTTAATCTTATTGTTATTATAGATTTACAAAATATAAAAAGCTATAAGTCTGGATAATATATTTATACTGGGTGTTCAGTGGATTAGATATCAATAAACCATTTTACACTTTTAGTTTTAATAAAATTTAGTAGAAGAAATATTCGTTTCTGAGGTGCAGAGTTGAGGTTGAAAAAACAGAAACTATTTGCAAGCATATTTCGATACGTAATTTTTTTCTTTTTCGGTATGGAAAGTACTAACACGAGTGGGTCTTGATTATCAATGTACATACAAAAAAAAAACAGTGGCGCGCAAACTACATTCTCGAAGCCTTTTTATAAAAATTAAATGTTACATCACCATGTAAAGCAGAAATAATAACATATTCAATGAGATTTCAGTATAATAGATACATCATTAAGAGGTACCGTTTTCTGAGGAAATTGCATTTAAAGTCAAGTGCACAATGTAATTTCGTTAACTTTAAAATATACGAGTATAAACCTACTTATCTATAGTAGGATCATATTCAATGCAAAGTAATAAATCATTGCCTGTCAAGGGAACCAATGAAGTACGCTTTTAAGGGTTTTACAAATTGAATAATTTCTTTATACATTATGAAGGGACGAGGGGATCAGTTCAGGTCTGGCACCCTTGTTCCTACAAAAATTCCTTTATTCTCATAAACTATTTATTTTAAATGTAATTTATTATAAATCCAATTTGTTTCCTAAATTCCACATATGTACATTTTACCTCTGTACGCGCCACTGTTGTTTACTTGTTTTTTGGAAGCGCTCTCTAATTGACGGCAAAGCCCGCCAGGTTAGTATTTAACGTATAACCGACCAGTTCGTACACTCGATGCACCTGGGCGACTACAGCTACTACCAGAACACAGTGCGTATGCAGCGGTATTTCAGATTTTACATTGAATTTCATTTTAAATTTGAAATGATTTATCTTACGCCTCCTAAAAATGATGACACGATTTTCCTTTGATAAAAGGCCGATAATTTTTTGCTCTACTTTGCATCGTATACGATCCTACTATAGTAGGTAAATAACTAGCATTAACATTAATGCGATATCAATCGCAGATTAACAATGTAATGAGGTAAATTATTGTACAATGCGAAATGACGGATGTTGTAGCCATGGCTCAAGCAAATTTTAATTAACGTAAATATTTATCTAATTCGAAGACAACCCGGTCAAAAATTGTTTTCAAGACTGAAAGATAAGAGAAATTAGTACATTTAAGAAAAATAATCGTTATGGGGGATCTGTACTTTGAACTATCCATCACAAAGAACTATTATCGAACCATTCCGTAAATTTCTGGGAATATTAGGTTAAGTTAGGTTACAATTTTCAATATTCTTTAGCACCCATTATATCCCTACTATTTTACACCAATACACAATTACCGAGTGACCTTTTATCAAGAAGAAATGTTTGAGAATATATTTTACAAAAAATACACAGGATCCCATTTTTAAAGGGGGATGTTTAATATATTTAGTAAATTCAATAATGTTTATGCAAAAATCTTATCAAATGAACTCAGACAACGTTCTTCGATTCAAAAAATCTTAAGTAGGTAGGTATCCAAAAGATATCTAACCTCATAAACAAGATTTTTAACTGATATATGTATTGAGGGAAACAGTAACTTTATGGGACACAAGCTACAAGCCCCAACTAGAATTTTATTATAGAAAGGCAAAATCTATTTATAAACAACTAGCAATTAATAATTATATAAAATAAAAATTAAAAATGACCTGTTTAAATAGTAATACAAAAACACATATCGTCGTTGCGCCTTCAAAATGCGACATGTGAATTTTATAAAATTGCTCAATAAAGTTAAAAAACTGCTTCTTGGCCTGTTTTATTTAAGAATTGCAACAGTTATTTTTAATTTTTAGGACACATGGAGGACAATCACAATTCTGTAGAAGATGATGGTTGTTTTAACCAGATTATGTGGCTTGACATCGTTTATCGAATGTGCAGAACTTATCGCGTGTTACTGAAAATATCCAAAATTAGTATTTTCGTAGATTTCAGTACCTAAAACCTTGATGGTTTGATCGTTTTTGCACCTGTTTATTCGTTTTACTGCGGCGTCTTTGAAAATACTCAAGTGGCATGACATAACATTCCTATTATTTGATAAGCTTTAGATTATTCCGTTATTAAATGTTTGAAATTATTGGTCTTTGTGGAAAACACTATTAAAAAAATACGGTGCCCTTAACACTAAATGTTTTTTCCATATTTTTATTTTGCGAATAAACTGATCAATAATCTAAAATAACTCAAAACGGATCTCGAAAAGGCACAGTTCAACTTATTTCATCTGGCTGATGAAGGTCGGATGCGTATTGACAAGGTGTAGAAGGGACCCACTCAACTTATTTCGTTTTCAGCACTCATTATTTATTATTAAAGTACTCTTACTACCTTATCATATTACTTGAAACAATATTTAATATAATTTTCTTTTGCCCAAATAATTCCTCTGATCGAAGTCCTAATAGAAGCGTCACTAAGTAATCATTTAAAAGGTAGACAATATTTACTTAAAATATCAGATTAGATCATATGGTTGATTGTATAACACACAGTGAAATATAAGCAAGGCAGTTATATTTGTTTAAGAATATTTAGAATCAGAAACTAGAATTAACTAGAATATAATTTCTATATGCATTTTCAAACCAGAATCGAAATTACTTCTAATCTAAGTAGACTATATTATTTACCAATTATAACCAGTAGTGTCATTAATTGGTTAATTAACAATTGTTCAGCCTCAGGCATTTCCAAAGTTTCCTATTATATAATTACTCTGCATTATAAACTTATAAAATTTGAAATAGTGGAGGTTTTAAACCATGCTGATTTAGTCTACGTAGCAAAATTTGTTATAAAAAAATACGTTATTTTCTGAAAAATTGTTTCTAAACAAGTCGCAATAGGCCATGGATGTTTGGTTTGGTTCTTATCGAGACACACGACCCTCTGCCAACTCGATGGCATATTTCATTACGAAATAATTAATTTAATTCAAATCAACGTCTACTCTTTCTAACTATAAATCAATTTTATTCACAAGTGCTTGCGTGACGTACTAACACTCATGCATTTTTTTATGACGTAGTAAACCTGCCACATCGCATGAAATATGGTGCTTACACCCTCCTTATCTTCTGCAAATATTATTATAGATAATCATGGATATAAAACCTTAATAATTTCAAGCGTTTTCCCCAACTAGACTAAATTACCACAGCAAGCGGGACACCTAAATCCGATTTATTTATAGAAACACGATGAAAGCTATTTCAAATATTTGCGTTAAACGGTTTCCGACCAAATTTATTTCAAAAAGAAATTAGATTTTGTTTTATATGATTTGGCTAAAGGTATAAAATAAAGTAAAAGGATTCGAACATTTGTTCCAATTTTTTTAATGACACGTCAGCGGTTCTCAACAAGTTTTCTATTAAAAAATTTGGTATTTTTACTTTAAATTTCATTTCTTTATTCTTATTTCCTTCGCAAAAAAAATGTTATACATATGTTCTATACCCCCTGGCAATAAATCAAAATTCCATTTAAATACAAAACTAAGTTAGGTTTTAAGCTTTAAAAATCGACTTTCTAAACCCTTTTTTGTTAATAACTTTCGGAGAGATAGAAGGTTAAAGTTATGTATTTTTGCCCTTGCGATAAATAGAATTTTGCAAAAAATATTGGGCCCAGAGCGCCCATCTTTCGCACAGTTCTGAAGAACAATAAAACTCACAACTTTTAAGTATATTTATAAAATTCCAACAAATAACAACCAAGTTATGGATAATTTAAAAAATGCCGTTTTTCCCGTTTTTTTTAATTTTTTTTTTTTGCAATAACTTTTAAACAATTTATTCGATTTTAATCGATCAGGCGGCATTTTGTAGATCTTTTTATCGAACATTTTTCTCTAAAATCAATAGTTTTTCCAATATATTGGAAAAACTGATATGTTGCTAACGAAAAAAATTGACTCACGAGATCTAACAACACTCCAAGTTACAATTTTTAAAAACATATTTCTTTCAACAATGACTTAAAGCTGTTTTAAGTAATAATCAAATCATTTACATTATTAAATGCAAGTTGTATACAAAAAAAGCGTGATTTTCACGTGAAGCTGATGTTTTCAAGAATTTCACACATTGTATGGCCTGGATTTCTGCTAGCTTCTACTTAGGAATTATGAGGACTTTATACTGTAAT